CACACCGCAAGGAGACAGAACTGTTTGATACCTTACCATCTTGATATTCAGGAATCAGTCTCTCTGACTCTGACTTGCAGGAGGGAAAGGGAGCTTACACCATGGCTCACTTCACTTGTGACCACTTTTCCTGACCGGAGCCATCGTCGTGGAGTAGCTCGAGTACCGGTAGGTAGGCACTGAGGCGCAAAATTCTGCTACTGTGCACCGACCCTTTCCCAATCCAATCTCGCGGGCCCGTTCTCTCGGGTTGCGGTACAGAAAGAGTCAGTGTTACAACGCAGCAATCTGAAGTATCCGTCTCACAATCTGCCGGGTGGCAATCCACCGTCAACGTGGATAGATACCGGTAGATGTCTCGACAGTGACTTATCAGAGCTCGCAACATACCTACATGGAGGTATCTCCTTGTCTTACGTCCTTGCGCGTCTCAGTGGATACATTACTCTGCTCCGAGTATTCCTGTAGAGTACCGGTAGGTGTAAGTAAGGAAGTGTATGTTATGTCTTTTTCGCTCTGTATGTGTGTGTGAGTGGAAAATACATGGCTGGCTCGATGGAGGATGGATATGTTCGTCCAGGTTGTGCTGGTCTGACCTTGATGATACCATCAGGATTAGCTTGTATAGAGAGAGGTCCCCACTGTGGGGACGGCCTACAATCTCTGGCCTCGGAGGTTTATCCCCCTTGAATAGATACCCAAGGTCCCAAACAGACCCAGGCTGGGCTTGATTGACTCGTTCCACCACTCCTTCTGGCTTGCTAATTACTCGTAGCAAATCCCGACAGACCCTGCGACCCTGCCTGCGAGGCGGGACATGCGGGCAATTCCGTTGTAGACAAATGTGGATTTGCAAATTCCTGTTTTACGACGGGACAAAATGTGAAATGTGAAACCTTACCAGACAAGAGATCGGATACGATGGAGAATGAATTACGGTAGTAAAAAGCAGAGATACACCACCACCAGAAGAGGGATGGACCACCAGAGCACAGCACAGCACAGCACAGCACAGAAGCACGACCAAGCAATAAGCCGACACGGGATCCATGGGAGTGGTACAGTGCACAAACAAGCAGCCATTTCAATTGGGTTGCTTTTGACTTGAATTGAGTTTGGGAAGAGGAGTGGGAGCGAGCAACCGAGCTGGCGAGTGACAAATGGGCGACCCGACGACCTGGGTCCGGCAAATTTGACATTTGTCTCTGTAGAATGTAGAGGAACTTGAAGCTCGGGCAGATGCGTGACTGCTCCTCAAGTCTGTGCACCTGAACCTGAATGGATCCTATCCTGTCTGACCAGTCTGCCCTGCTGCTGGCGGACGCCCTTCTTCTTGGCTTTGGGCTTTGGGCTGTTGGTTCTCCCCCTTCTCTCCCTTCCCTCCTCGACCTCGAAGGGACCACGGCACACACACCTCCATATCCGGCTGGATGGCTCAGGCTCCTCTTAGCCCGCCCCGGCACTGTACCTCGAATCACATCGTCACATTTCCCAATTCTAATTCCAGTTCCAGTCCCCAGTTCCAGTTCCAGTTCCAGTTCCAGTTCCAGTTCGGGCAGTCGGCCATTTGATCTGTCAGGTCTTGTCACCATGCAGTCGTCGAGAACAGCATGTCAGTTCTCGAAACGGGCTAGACACCGAGACAGAGACAACCTCAGAGCTGCTGACACGGTAGCGGCAGTTGTGTCGTGGATCGTCTATCAGCCCATGGATTGCGGCCAGCACCCAAAAGCCCCGCTCTCCTATTCCGTGCTCTATCCACTTTGCCTCGCCGGTCTCCTGCAATGTGGCCAGTCTGTCTGGTTGCAGTTACATAGTACAGCAGCAGAAGCAGCCGTTGTAGTTCCTCACCCGTTGCAGGCAAGCCCTGCTGGTGCCCCATAGACTACCATGTAGCTAGGTAAGTAGTCTATGTTCTGCACCCGATGTTCTGCCATCCGTCCATCTACCCATTCCCCCCCCTCCATTCCACCATCATACTACCTACCTAAGTATACTACTACGGTATACATTACAAAGGTGCAGTATTGCGTGTATGCGTGGTGTGTAAGTGGGAATTCCCCGGCAGGCAACGCAGCCCAAAGTACAGGGACAGGGCCATGTGCAGCATGCTACTGCTCCTGCTTGGTGGTGCTGTACATGTGGATATCCCATCCCCATCCCATCCCATGGATCCCCTCCTCCTCCTCCTCTCCCCTCTCTCCGTATGAGAAATCCCACCACAAGGGGCCATACAAGGCATGCATTAAGCCTATCGGCCTGCCAGGTGGCTGCAGCTTGGCATCTCCTCAGTTACTGGCGAGAGTCTCCACCACGATACTGCGCGCTGCTGCTGCGCTGCTCCTCTGCACAGCATCAGCGGGGTCGGCGGTTTTGCCTGTGCGTAGCGTGCGTGCGTAGCGTGCGTCCGGATTCATTGATTGATTGATGAATGAATGGATGGGATGTACTCTAGAGCATGTACTGTCTGTGTGCGACCTCCCTGGTGGTTCCTAGACCCTGTCTGTCCCACCGCTCGTTACCGCTTCTCTGGAGAAAAGAGAGACACAGGCAAGGCCGTTTGGGCTCCTTTTGGCTCGCTCAATCTTTGGCTTCGCTTCTTTTTCTTCTGCTGGCGCCGCCTCCTTCGACCTTGAACTAGTTGGCTACTAACGTTCGTTATGGCTTGAGACAAGACCGGACGACTGGCCAAGACGACGATTGGGAAGAGCTCCCGTCCCGCCCTTCATCATAATCAGCCAGGCAGGTAGTAGATTCGGACGTTGTGGAGGATCGATCGACCGGCCGGTCTCGTTAGGCTGTGGGAACACAAAAAGAGGAAAGGAGAGCCATACCTATAGCACACAGCACTGGACAGGTCAGACCAGCGACAGTACCAGTACCAGCAGCGCGGCCATTCTTCTTTTGATCGTCGGGTCCTGCTATGGTCTGTCGCTTGCTTCTGTGCTGCTGCTGGTGCCTCTCTTAACTGATATAATCCCGTTTTCGCCGTGGTGGCCACTTTCTGTTCTGCTGTTTGTCCGTCTATCAAACCAGACAGTCAATTAATCAGTCAGTCAGTCAGTCGGCCAGTCTACCATTAGTCTGTCTGTCTGTCTATCTATCCGGCATCTGGCATCGAGGACAGCCACGCCGGAGCTTGGCCCATGGCGGCGTCCGCTCTCCTCGACTTGCAGATAATAATATCCATTTACCCCCAGTGGGCCGTCACCACGATAATAATACCAGAAGAAGGGGATCCGAGACCGCAATAAGAACAGACAATGACGGACGCATCGGCTCCAGACGATGACCCCGTTGCCGCCGCCAAAGAACAAATACATCAACAACACCAACACCAACACCAGCAGCAGCAGACCCCGCTATTCGCCCCCGCGCCTTCGTGGTCTGAGACATCGTCGTTCATGACCGTTGTGCCCGATACTTCACAATCACACGCAAGCACCAGTGCCAGTAGCAGCAGCGCAGCGTCGTCGTCGGCCGCCGCCTCCTCATCTTCCTCGACCGCGGCAACTGTTGCCATACCCGCATACCCTCCCATCCCGCTGGCTGCCACTAACCACCCTGCCGGTCCCGTCGACCAGCCCGAGTTCTCGGACGAGGAGGAGCTCGACCGGGACTCCGCCCTTGGGGATGACGATTTGTGAGCAGTCACCTTCCATTAGCTTGAAAACATTGCTTTTTTTCTGTTGGCCGGTGTTTGCTTGACTCCGTTTTCTGCTGTCCGCCTGCCCGCCCGCCCGCATACGCACCCCCCCTTTTCCCCCTCCACACGCCCTGCCCTCCGTGTCCGGCTGCGTGCTTCCCCCCTAGCACGGCACAGCATCGGCACAGCACCGGCGGCGGCGCGTGTAAATGCCGCTCAATTTTCGCACAACACGCATTTGGCTGGGCCGGGCAAAATCTAACGACGAATAGCAGAAGCGCGACGATATCGCTGTCCGAGAGCGTTTTGGAATATAGGAGCCTACACGGCAGGACTTACCACAGCCTGCGTGGAAACGGCACCGAGTACTGGTAATTACCTTGACCTTTTTTCCCCCCAAACCTCCTTTCCTATCTCTCTCTCTCCAATGCGGAATGTGGCCAATGCTCAACACTCGCCCCAGGGGTCCCAATGACGACCGGCAAAATGAGTCCATGGACTTGTCGTACGTATATCCCCACGATCCGTCCAGTCCCCTTCTTGGTATCGTCGGCTGGCTGGAGAGAGATAGTTGTTGCTCACGATCTGCACAGACACCACACCTTCACCCTGTTGCTCGACGACAGGCTCTTCCTCGCCCCTATACCGGATGATGTACAGGTGAGCACCTGATCACTCCTCAGACATGCAGCCGTTGGGACGCTTGGGCTGACTATTTGTTGTCTGGATGCAGAAAGTACTGGATATAGGAACTGGGACAGGTATGTATATACACACACGCCTACCATGGATCGACTTGATGCAGGATATCACTGGACTTGCGCTAATACGATCACAGGACTTTGGGCCATGTAGGTTCCCGTCGATATGCCGCCGGCCGCCGTCACGGTCCCACTGACACAACGCCACTAGTGACTTTGCAGAGATGTATCCTTCTGCGCAAGGTAAGCTCGAAACAATTTCCATTATTATGTGAAGCTCTGCGGTTATGGCTACCATTCCTGAAATCGACATGTACCTCATATCAGGTATTCTGGGAGCGACTTCCTGCGTATGGTCTTCCATTACCGGCTGCGACATTATTGCCCGGATATTGGGCCGCTTGAAGTGTGTCTGCAGTTTTCAGTGCCAATGACGCTCTTGACATTTACGCGCATTACTGGGAACCCCTGGCTAACAACATCAGTTACCGGCACCGATCTCTCACCCATCCAACCCGTGTGGATACCCCCGAATTGCAAGTTCGAGATCGACGACTTCACAACACCTTGGACGGTGAGCATCTCTCCTATAGCATACGTACCCACCAGCACATCTCCCCCTTTCCATTTACCTCCCGAAACCAGTCTACGATATGAGACGAGAAGAAGAAGCAAGCCTAACATCGCAGTGGGAGCCCTCCTCGGTCGACTTCATTCACGCGCGGCAGCTCTTCGGCTCGGTGCCGGACTGGCCCTTCTTCATGCAGCAGGCGTTCCGCACGCTCAGGCCCGGCGGCTGGATGGAGTCGTTTGAGATCAGCGTGGCCGTCAGCTGCGACGACGGCTCCGTGCAGCCGGGGTCGGTGCTCGCGCAGTGGGGCAGCTTCTACGCGGCCGTCGGCGAGCGCACCGGCTGCAGCTTCACCATTGTCGACGACGGCGTGCTGCCGCCGCTGATGCGCGACGTCGGCTTCGTCAACGTGCACGAGCACCGCATCAAGTGCCCCCTCACCGGCTGGATGGAGGACAAGAAGCAGCGCGAGATCGGCCGCTTCAATCACGTTGCGGTGGATGAGGGGCTGGAGGGTACGTCTTGTTTCCTGCCGTCTCTTCCGCTGGCGAGTCGAGTCGTCAAGCTGTGTGTGTTGAGTGCCAAGCGGGGGGGTAAATGTGACTAACACTGCATCTCGCCAGGATACGCTCTATATATGTTCACGACAGTGCTGGGCTGGTCAGTCGAGGAGGTCCTGCGCGTCGTCACGCTGATGAAGAAGGCCATGCGGTCACGCAAGAACCACGGCTACTTCTGGGTCTCGGTCGTCACGGCGCAGAAGCCCGGCGGTCCGTTATAGCACGAATTTTTCGACGTTTTGAAAAGATAAATTCCAGGGGATGGGGGAGGAAATGCATGACAGCGGGACAATGAATGACATACGCGTGGAAATTATGACTACGGTCTAGAATTCTCAGAGAAAGAGAAAACGACAAATGGGGTTGGCTATCTAGCAACCTCACGACCACTTACCACCTCCACACCCTCACGACACATACGCATATCAACATTGGTATTGGGAAAGGCATGCATCAAATGTTTCTTCTCAGTCAGCTGAATCAACCCGGGACGCATGTTATCGGCGTCAAAGCAAATCAAGGGGAGGAACAGGATAGACAGAACGTCATCTTGGAACCACCCGGTGCGTTTTTTTTCAAACATGGGAACGGTGCATTACATCAAAGAATCAAATCATTGGGGGTCGCGGACAACAGAGGCGGGGGTCGACGACATGATTCGCCTTAGTCATCGCGAGCTCCGGTCCTGGGTCTCACAACGTGTGCATGAATGAAGAAGACGATGACGACATCATCATATCAGATCCGATCATACTTTTGGAAGATAGATATAATTAAAAGATCTTTTTTCTTCAAAAAAACATATCCAAAAAACTAAAGAAACATAGGTCGTTCCCATTTTGCCCAGCGGTGTGTGGCAAGACAACCTTTACAGACCTAAACCAAAATGTTATGATATGATATCCCGTGTTACATGAAAAGATTAGCCGTGCATGTTTGTCCGTTTTCCATTTTTTCCCAGGAAAGGAAGGACTGTCTGCAGAGAATAAGATTTCCCATGAAATAGATATCTTCTCATTTCCCTAAATATCTCAAACCTTGGCGCCAGTTGGGAGAGATCTGATTGTGGTAGATTCGATATTTCGCATGATGACGCTTTGTACAAAGGGTGTGGTGCCCCTTTTCAGGAGAAACCACCTCATACATCATCTTCACTCGTAAATTACAGCAGCATGGTGCCGAAGAGGGTGAAGAGCACGACGAGGCCGGTCACGGCGAAGGCAGCCTTGTCGACGGGGGGAGCAGGGCCGCCAGCGGCGTTCTCGCTGCTGCTTGAGCCGGTGGCAGTGGCAGATCCGGAGCCAGGCTCGGCGTCGCCGGTGCTGGTGCCGCCTGCGTTCTGGGAGCCATCGCCCTTCAGACCGGGGCCGGTTCCGGCACCCTCGGTCATGTACTTCAGCGCAGCAGTAGGGATGGCGGGCAGCAGGGTGTCAGAGACGAGCCAGTCGGAGTCCTTGGTGGGGCAGGAGACGGAGTTGGTGGTCGAGGTGAAACCACCGTCGCCGGTAGGGGTAGGGTACTTGGACAGAGCGGACTTGTAGTTGTCGAAGTCCTTCTCGGTGGTGACGGAGTTGCCGCTGATCTCGACCATACCGAAGCCGTTGCCCTCAATGGAGTACTCGTAAACCAGACCGCCAGAGTAGACGGGGGTCATGTCGTCGCTCATGAGGGCCTCCACCTCGCCGAAGTCACGGCCGTTGGTCGTGCAGCCGTACTCGGAGATGAAGAGGGGAATGCCGTATCCAGTGAAGTTCTTGACCTTGACGTCCCATCCAGACTGCACGAAGTTGGTGTTGCACCAAGAGTAGTCGTTCTGCAAGACAATTAGCATTTTTCTAGCCAAGACTGCCCATTTCATCGTCAATCACTTACGAAGGCGAAGAAATCACTGCGCTCGTCCTCGGTACCGCAGTTCATGTACTGAGCAAGCTGCATGCGGTTCTGAGCAACATCGGCGGCAGAGTAGCCAACGGGGACGGAACGGTAGCCACGTTCGCGGATGTACTGGCGCATGTCACGGGTGACGGCCTTGACGTACTTGGCAGACAGGGTGGTGTTGGCCTTGTCGTTGATGACCTCGTTTCCGGAGAAGAAGGCCATGGTGTTGTCGTACTTGATGAACTCGTCAATGGTCGCGAAGACGCTCTGCAGGTAGACGTCATTGTAGGACGGGGCTGGGTTGTCACGGTTGATGGAGTACTTGGGGTTGTTGGCGTCGAGGATGACATAGATGCCGGCGTCGGCCAGCAGGCCCATGCAGGTGTCGTGGCTGACCGAGTTGTCGGTCATGTAGACACGGATGGTGTTGACGCCCAACTCCTTGAACTTGGCAATGTCTCGCTTGCAGGTGTCTTCGTCGGCGAGGGGGTCGGTCTCGCCGGAGGAGCCACCGGGCTGGTAGTCAATGCCTCGCACATAGAATCTGGTCTTGTCCGCCCAGAATGCTGTAGTCGCGTGTTAGTGAGGGTAGAGAAGAGGGGTCGCTTTGCCGGGGCCATACCATTTCCAGAAGCTGTGATGGTGGGCATGGAGTCGGCACGTCTGGCCTTCTCTGGGGTGGTCTTGGTAGGGTTGGCGAGGGCAACCGCAGCCAGGGCGGATGCAATTGCGAAGGACTTCATCTTGCTATACTCTCAATGGCTCTTCTAAGATGTAAATTGATGGTCGGAGGTGATTGTCACGAGAAAAGCGCGTCCCTGAGCGAGCGAGGGAGCCAAACGGTGGTTTCGAAGGGGGAAAAATGGGTGTGTCGAGAGAGCGTTATGAAGTAACAAGAATTACAATGGAATTAAAACGCCAACAAGAACGAGTGAGTTGGCGGATGTCACGATGGTATGAAGGAGTAAAAGAGGTAGCGATTGAGAGAGAGTGAGAGAAGTAGGAAGGGAGAGGAAAGGGAACAAGATGAAGATGAACGACTGAAAGGAGGAGGAAGACTTGGAAACGCGGGAGAGGGAGAGATGGACAGGCACAAGCAAGGAAACCTTGAAAAGATGGGCACGAGGTACAAGATCTCGCTACCACATTGTGCGGGATTTGCAAGTACCTTGAAGTGACCCTGATTGACCGTGTCGGAGGACGGGACCTTGGACCTTGGACCTTCCTTGGAAATGGAGGTGGAGCCCCCTATTCGTGTTTGGCGCTGGTGGTGTGGAGTGTGCCCGTGTGAGATGTGCTCTACTGCATAGTAACTTACCTTAACGTTAACTTACGGGGTACCTGACCCCACGCGTGGCACTCGCTGGCAATCGCATGTCACTCGCCATCTCGCTCATCCCTGAATCCGACATTGGAATTGCATGCTGCCCTGATCAACCTCCAGCCAATCTGCTGTGCCAGTCTCACCCTGTCCGCTTGGCTGGCTGGCAGGTAACCGCAGGTTGGCTGGGCATACTATGTGCGGTATATGATATCTTCTAAGCCGTACTGTACATGCAGATATACTACGCAGTAGGTAGGCATGATACGCTGCTACAGTGCAAGTGTCTCCTCGTCGCTGTTAAATTGCTGGCTCTCCATCTGTTGCGCGGCCATTGCATCGAAGTATTTAGTATGTGTCTATGTCAAGCACAGCATAACTTACTCGACATTGTCTGCTCTCGTCTATCTGTCACCCAGGGACCAACAACCGTAAAATCGGGGCGGGTAAATTGGAGGTTGGCACACAGCTGACAGTGGGTGCATATCAAAGGCATGCTCACTGCATAGTACCGGTATCCCCTTAACGTTAATCCTCGCAGTGATGGGCGGTGATTGCCATTGTCGACTTCTTGAACGGTCTCTTCCAACCCCCTATTCTTAACGTTATCCCCAATGACGTCGGTACATGCACTGGAGACAATGTGGAACGGCGCAGCGGGCGTTACAAACTCAAAAAGATGTACAGCACACTAACGTTAATAACGCTGGGAGTCGCGCCGGCTGGCCCACCGATCTTCACGGTCCAAAACGCCCCTAAAAAGACTCTGCAACCCACCACCAGTCCACCAGCCAGCCCACCAACGAGTCCACCATTGCTCCAGCCTCCAGCGAGTGCAAATGTATCCTGCAGGTGTTTCGGCACACTTGAAATTTTCTGTGGGTTACTAATTAGCGAGGTTAGGAGGCAGAGCACAGCCTCCCTTGGCCGGGTCTCAGTCCACCTCAACCGTCCACCATGACGGTGACGGTGCCACGGTGGCCCACGCGCGACGGACACGAGCGGTTTCAGAAATTCAGAAGCTCAGCACCGCCGCCGATCTCAGACGCGCACGATCCAACGATTGGCGGTGGATCGTTTTGAACGGCATGAAACTGTGTGCACTCTGTCTAATCTAATCCGTACCGGTACTCATCTTTTGCGGCATTGCTTGGTGTGTGCGCTGGCTGGCTGGCGGGCTCATAGTGGCTGACTGCATGTCCGCGCTCCGTTTCAGGGCACCTGTCGACCTGGCCGAATCAGATCGCGCCGTTTGAGGCTCTGGGTAAACCGGTTCTCAATGCTATACTTCAACTATAAGGTAGCATACCAGCATCCCACGCCTCTTCGCGGAATGGTACCGAGTCGCATCGCGCGGTGGCTCCTTCAGGTACTTAGCATGCATATTGTTCGCCGCCGAGTCGCGCTGCTTGATGACGAACGGACTGCATACTAGTCTAGTCAAGTTTCGCCAGCATCTCCAATGGCACCGGGACCCTGAACAATGAGGAAGGGGGAGAGGGAACCAGCTCCGGAGAGCAAACTGTAGGTAGGTTAAAGTGGCGTGCATCCGCCTCCGGCCCTCTAGCCTAGCCAACGGGAGCCTCTCGGCCACGGAAAGCCTGTGGCCAACTTTCTAATAGTAGTGCAGCTGCACCTGACTACATGCAGCCACAACCTGTCAAAGACCTACGATCACACTAATAATAGAAATGTTTTGCATATCAAGTCCATGTCACGGATGCCTCATGGAAAAGTGATGTATATCTACGTGACTGATTTTCGTTGATGATAATGTAAGTATGCAAATGCCTGCCAGCCCGCCCATGAATTCCCATCCGCCAATGCAAGGCTCATTCAAAAAGACATACCCCCCTTTTTTGGGTGACCACACCACAACCTCAGAGCTATACTGTCACACCGACATAGAGCAGCAGACTAGCAGACTGTCTCTGAAGATCTGAAGACAAACGCCCCTGTCCTCGCACGTCTTTCTAAACTACCTGGACGTAACTCGCCGGCACGCTCTTGGTGACGCCACCCTTCTCGACCTCCGCCCACCCGTCGCCGGGGTCCTCCTTGATCAGGACGAACCGCTCGCCCTCCACCATGCTGTGCTCGGCGTCGCTCTGCGCCGTGTACTCGTACAGCGCTTCGACGTACTTGAGCTTCTTCGCTCCGCGCCGCGGCGCGACGGCCGGGCCTTTCTTCTTCGCCGGGGCAGCCGTGCCGATCGACGACCCGCTGTTCGAGTAAGTGGAATCCGGCCGCGCTGACTGTCCCGTGTGCTGCGCTGCGATCGCGGGCGCCGGGCCCAGCTCGACGTAGCTTGCTGGAACCAGACCTTCCTTGTAGCCTGCCCGGACCTTAATCCAACCAGAACCAGCTGTAGACCTTGTTAGTGAACTGTATTGTCATACCGAAAGACGATATTGAACCTACTATCTGGCTCGAGAATAACAATTTCACGGCCATCTGCCACGGTAAGCTCCCCGTCACCATTTGCCTCGAATGCATACAGCATCTTGCCCGTCTGCTCGCCGGCTTTCTCCCCAGAGCCATTCGGTGTGCTGCCTGGCAGCTCACTGATGTATGCCGCGGGCGGTGGTGCTATCATGCGATTCTTGCGGGCTGTGCTAGCCGGAGTCGGCCGAGCACTCGCAGGCTCCGGAGGTGCCTCTTCTGCCGGTGACCTCGGCCCTGAGATAGACCTGTGAGCGCTAGCCGCGTAGCCTGAGCTCAGCGAGTTCATCGTGTTCGATCTGCTCAGCGCAGGAAGCTCCGCGGCTGAATGGTTCGCGCCGCCCGCTGAGTTCGGCTTCAACGTTTTGTTCGCGGAGTCTTGCCGCTCCTGCTTCAGCTTCTTCCGATCCTCCTTGCTCTGCTCGCCCGGACACTCCGGCGGCACCTTCATCTCGCACTTGCTGTGGCATGTGTAGCCGCAGTCTCGGCAGTCGAACCCCTTGGCCGAGAGACCCCATATCCTTTCTCCACAGAGGTCGCAGTTTGTGGGGATCTTGAATGTCTGCGATTTAAAATTGTGATTCTTTGCGCCGAGGGTTACATCTCCCACCGCGGAAGTGATGGTCGACGTCTCGACTTCCGCTGTGAGCCTCTTCCGGTCGACCTGGTGCAGGTCTTCTTGCAGGGCGAAGATCTGGCTGACCACGAAGACCTCGTCGCGCTTCTCCGTGCCATCTCGGACTTTCTGCTTGACCCTCTTGACTGCCTCGACTTCCCTCCTCTTCTTGTCCACTTCCCGCCGTAGGTCCCCGAGTTGGCCCTTGGACTTGTTCAACACATTGCGTAGGAAGACCTTAGCCGCCTCGTCCACAATCATCGAGTCGTCGTCGTGCCATACCGGGCTGGGTTCGAAAATCTTGTCTGGCGGCTCGTTGAAACCTCCCATGTTGTGCCGTATATACATCATAGAGTCGAAGTGAGGCTGATTGCGTGTAATTTCTTGAGACTGGTGTTCTATAAGAGCGCTGCTTTGCTGGAGCATAGTAGCTTCGAGCGAAGTGGCCAAAGACCACAGACCGTTGAGCTTTAGTGTGCGGAACTCGGAGAGGTCCTGTAGACTGTCGAGCAACTCTGGGACGTATTCATTGTAGTACCTTTCCTTCTGCTTGTTGGTGACGTTGATTGCTATCAGGTAGGTGTTCTTGACGTTATTCATCTCGACGATCTGTTGCTGGTACGCATTCTGTGCTTTGGCCTTGTCAAACGAGGACTCGGACTTTTTGCGTTTGCTTTCCACTTCCTGACACACGGTGTCGTACTTGGTCTTGATCTTCCGCAGCTCGGCGTATGATGACTCCCTCTCCTTTTCCAGCTTCTCCGCATAGTCCGCATGGCGTTTCCGGAGCTCTTCAAATCGTGTGCCGATGACTTTGAGGGGTTCGGCAACCTTGCTGACTATCTCGTTACCGTAGCGATCGTGTTCTTTTGCCCGTGACTCGAGGGTGGTAATCTGCATGGTCCAGGTCGTCAAGGAAGCACTGAGCATTAAACTGTCAGCTGACAACGTCGGGGAAGTATGCTTGCGCTCTTCGTGGTGATGGGGCCTCTCACCTCTCGAGCGAGCCGGGCGTCATAGTTGGTGTATCACCGACAGACAGGCTCGAGGACTTCTTTGACTTCTTCTCAAAGTACTTGCCCGCGAGGGCATTGAGCTTGGCAGCGTACTCCTTCTCGATGGCGCTCCGCTCTCGGTAGAAGGACTGTATGTCGTCGAGCCATGTTATCCCGTTTGCCACCCAGGCATTGGCGGGTTTAAAGCCATCCTAAGAGATGTCCGTCAGCAGGGGACGATTGTAACATGGTGCGCACAGAGGGACTATGGAGAAAGCTGCGTACCTTCAATTCGGAGCCGAAAGTCGGCAGTGCCTCCACCTCAGCCATTTCTGCCAGTATATGCTGTGCCTCGGGCGAGAAACCATGCAAGAAAGACGCAAAGAAGGACTGTGATCTCTAAAGATGAATTATAGAAAAGCCATGAGGCCTGTCGTCGCCTGTGAATGCGCCAGAGGGGGAATAATGGACCGAGACGGCGAGCAGAAGATGGTGGGTGTGTTGGACGGCGGCGGTGGTGGTGGTGGCCGGTAACCCCTCCAATCCAATGGCCTAGCAAGATGGATGTGTGGCTAAATGCGAAGCTAGCTAAGATAGCTAGCCAGCGTACTCCGTAGTAGTCAAGAAGATGTTCCTGATCGTCTTCTTTCTAAGATGCGCCACAAGTCAGGACGTTGAAAGGGTGACTAATTATGTGGATATTTGGAAGGACATATGGGCAGAGACGTTGCACAGCAGAAGCACAAGTCAGAGGCAGTTGAAGAAGGTGTGCTAGTAATCAATGCTCAAGGGGAGTAAAGTTATGGATTCAGCCTCTCTGCCTCGTCATCGCCGCAATTGGGTGTTCCAAGGATGTTCCCGACTATCCGGCGGGATGGGACAGTAAGAAAGCCCACTGTAAGTGTAAGCCACACGCAGCTCAGTGCCCCAGACCCCTCACTGGACCAGCACATTCTTCAGTGTAGATTGGTGCCTATCACCTTCTTAAGTAAACGGGAGGTTGATGCTTTACCTTAGCTAAGCTGTTGCCTCACTTCTCAGGTGCAAAACACCCCGCCATCGACTGGCGCCTCGAGCCCCACCATACACCATCACCTAGGGCACCTTTGGCTTGCGGCGTGCTTTGAAGCAGAGCTCCCCATCATAAAGTTCAGAGGAAGCTTCCTTTCTTTCCCGTCCTCAAAGAAAGTCGCCAGGACTCGGCACGCATCTACCTGATTCCGGCTCCCATTGTATATCTTCCGTTCGGTAGAATATTCTGGTAGCTCCACGGGCCTTGATCGCTCAAGATCTCCAGCAGAACCACCACGTCTCTGTGCTGCTTTGTTAGAAGGCCTGGCGCAAAGCTCTCACCGGTCTCATCCCTCCTCCGTGCTGTCGGCATACCTCACCGTCGCTACGCTTCAACTTTGCGTCTGATCCTGTCCAGACGTCTGCCCTTCGCACATACAAGCCCTTCTCTAGAACCGCCTACCAATCCACCATGGCGGACCTCGCTAGCCGAATCACGAAGCCTGAGGATAGCGCTGCTGATGCCTCGTTGGCACCACCTGAGCCTGAGACTGGACTCAATGAGTCCACCTACGAAGTTGAGGTGAAGCTGAGCGAGCTTCAGAATGATACCAATAGCCCCCTCTACTCTGCTGCCACCTTCGAGCAGCTCGGTCTGTACGTAGTATCACAATGCTGTCTGCAGTGAAAGCATGAGCTGACAATCTTTGGGCCACAGCCACGATAGCATCCTGCAGGGTCTCCTTGCCATGAATTTCAAGAAGCCGTCCAAGGTACAGGAGAAAGCACTGCCTCTGCTACTCGCCGACCCTCCCCGCAACATGATCGCACAGTCGCAGTCAGGTACCGGCAAGACTGCCGCCTTCGTCATCACCGTGCTCTCCCGCATCGACTACAGCACCCCACACCAGCCACAGGCTCTGGTTCTCGCTCCCACTCGAGAGCTGGCTCGCCAGATCCAGGGCGTCATCAGGCAGATTGGACAGTTCCGCGAGGAATTGATTGTTGAGGCTGCAGTCCCCGGTGCTATCTCCAGAGAGACTGGTGTTAGAGGCACAGTCGTGTGTGGCACCCCGGGAACGGTTATGGATCTTATTCGACGTCGCCAATTCGATGTGTCCAAGTTGAAGCTTCTCGTTATTGACGAGGCCGACAATATGTTGGACCAGCAAGGAATGGGCGAGCAGTGCGTTCGAGTAAAGAAGTAAGGCACCCATCAGTTCTCCACTTGAGCCGTATTGCTAATACGTGTAACAGTATGCTCCCGAAGACAATTCAGATCCTGTTATTTTCTGCTACCTTCCCCGAACATGTCAACAAATACGCGGAGAAGTTTGCACCCGATGCGAATGCCATGAAACTACGTCAGCAGGAGCTCACAGTGAAGGGAATTGCTCAGATGTACATGGATTGCCCCAAGTCTGAGGACAAGTATGATATTCTAGTGAAATTATACGGACTCATGACTGTCGGGTCATCTGTCATCTTCGTCAAGGTAAGATGCCAATGGGTCTCTTTATCTAGCAGTTCTTTGTTCTAACAGCCATAGACCCGAGAGAGCGCATCTATTATTGAGCAGAAGATGGTTGCAGATGGACACAAAGTCACAGCTCTACACGGTGCCTTCGAGGGCGCCCAGCGAGACCAGCTCCTAGATGACTTCCGCTCTGGACGAAGCAAGGTTCTCATCACTACCAACGTCCTGGCACGTGGCATTGATGTGTCCAGTGTGTCCATGGTCATCAACTACGACATCCCGATGAAGGGCCCTGGAGACGCCGAGCCGGACCCGGAGACTTACCTACACCGTATCGGTCGTACAGGCCGTTTTGGTCGTGTGGGGGTTAGTATCAGCTTCGTATCCGATCGGAAGAGTTACCAAGCACTCTCTTGGATTGCACAGCATTATGGCATTGATCTCGTGCAGCTCAGCCCAGATGACTGGGACCGCACAGAGAAGAAGGTCCAGGAGATTATCAAGTCCAGCCGTGCCAAGCCCGACTATGTGCCCAGTGCCGTCCCAGGCGAGAGCGCTCCTGCATCTTAGCAAGGGCAGAATTAGTTGGCGTTCTTGCATTGAGACGTTTGCTGGCATTGCTCTTGTTGGGTGTTCGAGACTCGACGGTTATCTCAGAGCAGGAAGGCTTCACAAGCTGAGTGGGTGGTAATGTGTTCGTTAGTGTTTCACCATAAAGGCAGACGATCTTGGGAGGAACAAGATCGTTTACGAAGATATGAGTGGACGAGATACCAATAAACAAAAGTTGTTATGCTGTATATGCTGTATATGCTGCGGGTTGCCTCCTTCGTGACCTTGAAGACGGCGTTCTCTACTGGACGGAAACACTATTGCCGAACCAACAATTCTCAGCCTCGCCTGGGAATAGTATGTATACTAACATAACTTGTCGACCAGGTTGGTGTTTCCGTCTCATCTTTTTGCGCTGCTCATGTCCCAACATCCCAACCGTCAACAATCAGACGAAGCTCTCCCTTGGTGAATCCCCAGGGATCTTCATAATAGCCCGAGTCTTAAGAGCCCCTGATGTGATGAGGGCAATGAGTATATGTATTCACATTTCGCCTGGAATTTTCCAAGCATGTTTCCAGGAGTTTCACTGAGATTGGGTTTGAGATAGAGCGACTCGCTTGACATCACTATACTCTGTGTTGCCTGTAGTGCTGGAGTGGTCGGCAAGTATAGCCTCTGTACCTGCAACAGCCATCACATCCTCCTCTCAGGGCGCCGCGTAGGGCGAAACGAGAGGAAACCGTCAAGTGTAGGAAGGAGGTCCCCTTGGAGTCCAAGGAGGCCGTGACAGAGCGCGCCGATTGGCCCTGTGGGAGTCAGAGGCACGGAAGTTGGCCGGGCCTGGACAGTGTAGCACTGGCAACGCCAACTTTGGCGCCGAGCAACCCAAATTTAACCGCCTTGTAAGCGCGCAGACATAAAGGCCAATCTCAGCCATTCATTTGCCCGCACCAGCTGGTTCCTGCATATGTCCTCCAACCCTCGGTGGACTAAATTATCGCTACTATTGGGTTCCGCGCAGCAGGGTGCAGTGTACCGCCCCCATTCGATTGAAAGGAAGCCCCCGGCAAGTCGTCGGGGAGCCTCGAAATAGGCCATGGCGGCCAACCAGGAGCCGCAGAACCGCAACCGATCTGCTCACGACTCGCCGCTCCTGTTGCGCGATGCGTCGCTGCTCCAAATATGACGGTTATGACGCAGCGCTGCTTGCCCCAAAGCGACACTTTTGCTGCACGCTGGCGGTATGAGCAGGCATTGGAGCCTTCTATTACGGACGAGGCACAGTCTCGCAGCAGCAGGTCTGGTCTGCGGTAAATCCAGAAACAGACGTAATGCGGGCAAAGCAACCTCGCCTGCATTTCAAGTGAGCAGGCGAGCGTCATACCATGTCTGCATATCGGTCGAGACAACTGGTCGCGTCGACGTAAAGGCGTCAGTCTGTCCGGCTCAGCCTCGACTTCGAATGTTTCTCTTTTCTTCTACAATTTCCTTTCCGGCCTCCTGTTGGGTCGTCTTGAGACGTTCTTCTTACTCTTCCTTCTAATTTCCCTTGCTTCGCTTCTGTTTCCTTGTGTGATAGACCTCTCTCGCGCGTCTCCTTTCCTTTTCCCCCTTTACTCCACACTCTCGGGTCTCATTTCCTACGGCGCTTCTGAATATCTTAGACTATGCTGAGATGCCGGCCATCTCCCTTAATATCTCGTCTCTTCTCATAGGTTAGTGTTTCTTGATTGACTTTTGGATTGTCCTGCCTCAATCTTTCCCCCACAAGGTCGCCAAGAAGGTGGTGGCAAAGGTTGTCGACACGTACTTCGCTTGGGCTGCCTCCTTCTTGCAGGCGGAGAGTCTGCCTGGAAATCGGCAACTCTCTGAACTGGATGCATAGCAATGGGAAGGGTTCTGAGGCGTGGACGAGATCATATGGGTTCAAGCGTCGTGGCATTGGCGACTGACCTCACCCTCTCTAGATGTCATACCATAGGATGGCAGTCAGGTCCCGGCTACATCATGTCGCAATATGGGCAACGATACCCCTACTCGCCTCGGCGGCGACGTTCAACCTCTCGACAGACATCTCGGGTTTCATTCCAGATTGTGCGTCGGGCTGCTTCGAGTCCTTCCTAGAGGCGAACTTTGCGTCTAGTCTTTGCGGCACCACACCATCACTACAATGTCTTTGTTCACATACAGGCGCGTCGGGATTTACAATTGGCGAGGGTGCGGTGCAATGTATAGTTGCGGAGAACAATATTGGGGCTTGCACGGCTATGGATGTTGGATGTGAGCTATGCATGTCATCGCCCGTGATACTGCTCCACTGAGACTAACATCTCGATGATAGCACAAATTGTGGCCAATGCTTATGGCATGTGTATTGGGCAGACCAACGCTGCACCGCTTACACACTCGACCATTGTAGCAACTTTGATAGTCCCCTCAGGCACAGGACCGGTTTTGGTACCGAATCCGACGTCTACGTCGCAAGTGAGCTCCACAGCCGTCACAAGCTCGACAGCAGAATACACGACGCCACAGATCACGATGTCACCGCCTGTCAGCCCGTCATTCATTTATGAAACAGCAACTTCGACGTCGAGTCCAGCATCAACCTCAAGCGCCGCTGCAGCAAAGACCGGCTCTCAATCTCCGGCCCTTAGCACAGGCCAGATAGCAGGCATTGCTGCCGGAGGAGCGGCAGCCATCCTGCTCGTGATAGTTCTGATCTTCATTCTGAGATGCACTCATAGGAAGAAACTGCAATACCCGGATGAGAAGTCCAGCTTTGCTAAGCTCAGAGACTCCTGGAGTCCTCGAAGGAAGAGCGGCCAGAGCCCTTACATCCCCCAGATTTCGGCGCCGAGGTATCAAGAGCCACAGTCAATGGATTATTCCAGGCCATATCCAAACCAGTACAATGCGAATCAGTACAATGTCCGACCAGAGACCATTGGGCTTGCAATTTCGGCGGAGAATAGCGTGGCAGCGCCTGAGACAAGGCGGTCAAGTAGAATCTTGTCATGGCTACCGGCTTTTCCGTTGCCTAGCAAGCAGCAACCAGCTCAACAGCTGCAGCAAGTACAGCAGCCGTTGCCACCACCGGTCTTTGCACTGTCGCCAAGGAAGCCAGACACTCCGCCGAAGCCGACCCTTACGCTCACCATCCCTCCAGATGAGGAACAAGGCTTATCAGCGAACAGACTACCAGCCCAGGCTCCATCTAATCAAGGTCTTGCCGTCCAGCGGATGCCGTTCAACGGTGGGCGAGACAGTGTCGTCACAGAGTTTGCAGAGGACGGTGAGGGAGACCCGATGAGCGCTGGCGGAGCTCAGATATGGCGGCCACCGCCATCTGATCCCCAGTCTGCGACAACATACTACGTCGCCGACAAATGGGGCAATTGGATTTTGAGCAACCCCAACCGGAGGTCCCAAGCTGCAGAGCTGGAGGCGCCGACTCCCTTGGCAAGGACAGCAGCAGAGAAATCACAAGACCCAATGACAGTTTCAAATATGGTTGGAGGCCCAGCACAACCGGCACAAGCTGCGTTAATAGCAAGACCGCCACAGGTCAGACTTGTGCCTCCTGAGAGGAATGAGGCTACGCTGAGTCGCTCATCGAGTGTGTACTCGAACTACAGCCTACCTCACTCCATCGCACCCGGGCCGGAGAACCCCTTACCAGGTCGTCCGCTCCCCGAGCCGGAGTCCTACTACAAGATCATGCGTGACAATAGCACCTCTCGAGCACAGCGAAAGTCGCAGCGGCGCGAGCGGTCTGATACCATGTTCTCTCACGATTCTGCCACCACTATTGCATCATCCACCTCAGGGGCGATGGATGGCATCGATGACTTTAGCGCCTTCCCTGAGCCTCCGCATGGCCAGCAGGGAAGCTTGTCTCCAGTCGTAGAGTCACCACACTCAGGTGGCACGTCACCTGTCACGTATCCCAAGATCCCACGACCGCGAAGCGGTAGTAACAAGGCCGCCCCTGGCCTAAAGCTTTTCCCACCAGCTGTCAAGTACGAGTATACGCCAGCTGGACAGCCGAGTCCAACTCTGGGTCTCGCGAACCTGGTCAACACCGACGTTCCTGACGTTCCTGTGCCGCCGTCTCAGCAAGGACTTCCTTCTCAGCAACAGCCGTACAGCGGTGTCCGCCGACCCGGCCTGAACCCCTTCCCGAACCGCAATCCAGGCCAGGTCCGCAACGGCTCGCCGAACATGCCTCAGGAGGAGAACAACGGCGCCATGCCCCAGCCCCTGAGCATATCCACCGGCGGCGGCAGCGGAAATGGTGGCTGGAGCAGGCCAATGATGCCACCGCAGCCCGAGCCCACCCCAGACGAGCAGTCCGTCGTCTCGCCGTCCGTCAGTCTTCACTCGAACGCGAGCTCGTTGCTGGCGAAGAGGCTGGGCGCCGACCGCGCTGCTGCGCTAGCCATGGGCGAGGGCAACGGCAAGAAGGCGCCGCCGGCCAAGTGGAAGCGGCAGCAGGGGCCGGGCACGCCCGGGTTCCTCGTCGATGACACCCATGTGCCGTTGCCCGCGACGCCGGGGTGGCAGCCGAAACTGACGCCGACGCGGCGCGGAGACGATTTGTTTCTGAGCGTTCAGTAATTTACCGTGCTCTCACTCCTTTTATATCTTTTCATCGATACTTATACAGATTACAACCTGTTGCGGGCAGTCTCCTTCCGAGCATTTCATACATACATATATTATCAGCCATTGAGGCGGCGTTCCGGGACAAGTTTCGTTCTTCATTTACATCATTTTTTAACGCAATCAAAATCTGGAGAGATGGGTGGGATCATTCCATTCATATGTCATGAGGCGTTGAAGGAGCACTCGGGGATACCATTCAAGCTGATTTGCCGCCCACGATACACCTTCACAGTCTAGGGCGAGCTGTAACACCACATATCCAGTCATAGCATAGACATTTTCTTCTTGTTGTATCATAAGCTCCATTTTCCAAGTCTTCAATACCAAAGTCGTCATATCACATCCGGTCCAGTGCAGAGCAATTCGTTTGGTGATCCTCCATTCTATTTGTAGTAATTGAAATTGGCCTAAAACTCCCTAACTAGCGATGACGATGATAGAGCTCTGGGACGGGTGGTATGTCTCTTTTTGTCTCATCCTCCCACGGTACCCCACTTCGGCAACTCAAAAGCGATGGATGCAGTACAGCAAGTTTCCCCAAACGGCAAGACAAAACCCAGGGCATCCCAAATTAAACGAATCACGGCAGTAGGAAATCATACTCATACAAGGCGTCTGCTGGCCCAGACCAGCTATCGGCGGGCCGCAAGCCTTTGCCTCCACTGACTGCTCCCCGCGTAGGGCGGGGACAGGAAATCGTGCGGAGTCACCGGAGCTCCGCTCATGACCGTGGACCCCGTCGCGTCGGAGCTGACGCTCTGCAGGCGAAACAGATCGCGGCCGCCGGCGGAGGCGAGCCTCTGGCTCTCCCTCCGCTGGACCATCAGCGGCGTGGTCGCCGAGATGTCGCCGGACGCAGAGGCGCCGTCGAGCCCCAGCTCTTTGTGGGCGCTCTAGGCCTCACCGGGTCGGCCAAGATCTCGGCCAGTGGCGACGGCGCCGGAGGGACCGCCGGGTTGCTTGCCAGCTGGAGCATTGTTCCAGGACAGGTATGTGTGGTCACCGAGTTTTCTAGAGTATGGTTAGATTTGTTTTTAGCGACACAGCTAGGAATATGATCTCACCTTGGCTTGATGAGATGGGTCACGGTGAAAACGGCGCCGAGGAGGATACATATGCCTCCTACAACGACGTAGGCAATACCAAGGAACGGATTTCGGCCGCCCATGACCGTTCGAGTCGTGATAATGATGGACTTGGTGCCCTTGTACTTGTCTGAAGGGAAATCTAGGCAATGATTAGAAGTAGTCTTCAAGTAGAGAAACGAAAGCTTACAATGATCAATGTCGATCTGGTAATAGCCTTCCTTCATGGACGTGGTATCATTTCTCTGATACAGCTTGCTGAAAGAAGGCAAGCCAGCCGTCCGCATCCACACCATGAAAGCCTCGTTATCAGCCAGACTGGGCGGAGGGTTCGTCTTGGTATAGCCATCTGGGTACTTGACTCTCCAGTTCGGTGGAGGCATGATGGAGTCCAGAGATGTCTCATCTGGGAGATTGCCGTATAAGTCCTTGTCGGAGCCCCAAGCAATGCCACTGTCGTTCTTCATGAAGTACGTCTCGTTGAACGCATTAGAGTTTTGTGTACTGAGAAGAAGAGGGCTGGTGAACGTGTCGTTGAACCATGAGTTGGCAATCAAGCCGCAAGGGTAGTAAGGCTTGTTGGTGTCCTTGTCAATCTCCAGAGGCGTGCAACTTGAACCACTCACATCAGCAGATGAGACTGGGGTTCCCTTAAGTTGCTTGTCGTAGAAACTGTTGACATATCGCCGATGGTTCTGGTAGAAGTTTGTCAGGTGGTAGTAGAAGAGTACCGGCGGGCCCATATTCTCTGGGATGTGGAATTGCAAATGGCATTTGGTTGTCGGAATTACGACGTCGTTGTATGTGACATTTGAGTATGATCTGGACCATTGCGCGGCAACAGAGGAGTTTGAAGTCTTGAATGCAGTAGAGACATCGGAGCTTTTCATCGGAGCGAAGGTATTGTTCGGTGCATCAGCATAGCAGTTGGTGTAATCGAGCCTAATTTCTTGGACCTGAGAGGCTTGTTAGTTGACTCGGCAGATCGGGACCGAACGAAGTAAACCGTACTTTGGCGCTCGCATAAAGCAGCAGTCCTCCTATCGGCGCGAAGATGATGCCAATCGTGAAGAACAACGGAAGCACCGTCTTGGGTGTGAGGATTGGCCTGCCTCTCCGTCAGTGATCCAACAATAGTCCTTCCTGTGGCATCCGTTGACTTACTGCCATGCCTTCAAGCGTTGTTGCCGGAACGCGGTGTCTGTTGTTTTTCAATACTCGTCAGTTTCTGTCCCTACGTGGCAGGTTGCGCCGTTTCTCTTTGACGATTGCCCTCTCTGGCTCGGGGACGCCGGAAGCGACTCACTGGCTGGTCTGCGGCTCTTCTTCTTGTCGTTGGACTTGTGGGAGGACTCTTGCGAGGCGATAGAGTCCGGGTGATCAGCTCTGACTTCTGAGTCTTCCATCTTGATTGATGGCGATAGCTGAGGTTGACGTTGTCGGAAGGGAGGGAGATGGCGGTTCAATGTCGTCGCAGGGCCATTGAATACGGGGATGTAACTTTCCCAGGGGCCCGTCAACTTTCCTGCCAATCGTCAGCGCCTAGCGTTGCTGGCCATGCTACGCGTGGCACAGCCTGGTGGCAGCTCAGCCACGCTCTGTTATTTTTGGGCACAATCACGGGGACTTTCACATGACCTCCCAGGAAGCTGGTGATGGCCCGTGCACCACCCGATCTCAGTCCCCGGCTGCACTACAGGTACACTAGGTAAGCTTCCAGGGAGCTTGGGGCAGCAAGCTAGCAGCATCTACAGCTCCAGTGATTGAGGTGATCATGGAATTACCTTATTCCTATGTGCATCGGTTTGCTCGAAAAAGATAATCTGGAACCCATTTTAAGAACTCACCGATCCTTTGAGAGACTCAGGCGAGACAATGCCTACAGAATTCTAGCTTACTGAGAGCAGCCCATCATTTGCGGGGCTTTGCTGCATGGTGAATGGCCGTCGGCCTGGCACAGCTGGCACCAGAGTTGCTCGGTGTATTCCACAGAAATGCCCCTACAGAGAGTGCCATGGGTCGATCATCGTGTTCTTCTTCTCCTCTTCTACTCTTTCAAAACCCGGTTTTGAGACACAGAAGGACCCGGGACGAGATGAATGAGACAACCTGCGATAACAAGACCTGGTAGACCTTGCTACAGACCAGGAGGGCGCACCTCAGTGACGGCAAAGAAACGCCATGGCGTCCAGCCAGATGCCTTGAACAGCTACCGCATCTACCCCATGTTTCAGTTGAGGTGTTCTTCCAAGTGTTCTTCTCTTTTCTTCTGTGGGACCTCCTGCAATATTGTGGTAGCGAGAGAGGAGAAGAAGTGGGAGCAGCCTCTGATCTGCCCTCATCTAGAAGCATGAGCAGTTGGATCGCCAGCTTCTAGCGTAGACACTACATACTACGCTGCAGTAGGCGCGAGTTAGGTTCAACGCTGCGCTGTTTTGCCATATCGCCAGTGATCAAAGGATCCCACAGATGGGGGAGGGATCAGCGCCGCCAGCCCTGGATACCTAGGTATGATGAAAGAGGGCAGCTCAAGAGGCTTGGGACGGCATCGCTGATACGGCCAGGAGGGGTGATGGAGCCCTGGGTCGTGGGCTGCCATTGGCGGGCTGCAGGATATAGTGCTCAGATACAGTGGCCCTAGCGCATGTTCGGATGGAAAATCGAAGGGAGCTGCATCGAAGCTTTTGAGGATTGGAAGAAGCACGGAAAGATTGCCAGGCGGCCTGGGCGGGCGGCTGGACCACCAGGTGATCCGTGCGCCGTTTCCAAAGCTTCGAGAAGTGTTCGAGATGCCGATGACGGGAGGGGCAATCAGCCCTCAGGGCGCTGTGGTTGGCTGGACAGGGCAGCTAGCACGCCTCCCCTACGGCCTGGCATAGCATGGCATGGCATGGCTGGCATGCTGCCTGCCTGACGAACAGCACCACGCTCCAGCATAAGACAGGCTAGCAGGGCTCCAGGGCTGGCGTCGGGCAGGTGTACTCCAGTTAGTGCAGGTGGAGAGCATATGGTAATCGATGGTAATCGCATCTCCTCTCCTCTCCTCTCTCGCTCTGTCTCACCAGAGGGGAAAAGCGAGGGAAACCGAAACGGCAATACAAAAAGTTCTAGACAGGGTGAAGGAGGCATGCAAGATGGAAGCAGCTGATAGAGTGACTGCGGGCAAATGTTTCCTCTGAAAAGGAAGGCTCGAAGGTGGAACAAGAAAGTAGGTACGATGGTGACAGTAATGGAAAAGGAGAGGACGTCCCTGGAGTACTGTACAGGACAGTACCTACCTTAATCGCCAATCTTGCCTACCTTAAACAAAGATTCCCCCACCTCGTTTCCCCGAAGCTTCAACGCTACACTACCTACCTTATGGCTCTCTTCTAAAGTTCCCGTTCCGCCCTCCCCGTCCACACTTCACATACTTCACTTCACCTGACTCTACCTACCTCACTTCACCTTTCCACTCTTCCTGCATCATCATCAGCAGCGTCTCTCCTGCCCACCATACCAGTCTACCTTCTCTCTTGAGCATACGATTGACAACTGCCCTGCCCCTTGATAGCTTCCTTATAGCTAGCCTTCCCTGCCTTGTCTGGCCCACAAGCCTCGCCTTATCGCATCGGCAACCCCTCCGCCCCCTGTCTCGTCACCTCTCATTTCTGTCTCGTCATTTCTCGCCACGACTCCGGCTCCTCCACCAGATTGTTCTTCTCATTTTCTAGAACAACGAACCTCTCCAGTGCTCCGGGCATCCCTAGACAGCTGCCACAACTTCTCTTCCATATTATTACTCATTTCTTTGACCGACCTGCCTGTCCTGCAATCCACCGAGGGGCTTCTCCTTTGAAGCCATAGCCGTTTCGTATCGACCATTCGACCCCGCGCGCGCGCGACAATTGGACCCCACGGTGATGCTCTTTCTTTGAGCTCCCGCCATCCCACGTCCGCCACAACGTACCTAGGTAGGCAGGTTGCGCATTGTCGCTCCTCACTTCATTGTCCACACCTACCCTTGATTCTAATGTAATTCTTCCCTCCGTCAATATTTGGCTGAACCGCCATCAACATCCCCTACATCCATATCGTTGGACCCACCTCCCAGCCTGCATTTCACTCTACAGCTGTATTACATTCAGCAAACCCACTTGTCATCTTGCAGCCCAAGTCCTAGCATCTTCTCTCTTTGTTTTGTGCACCCATCCTTTGTTCTGGCGGGAGTCTCCTCATACTCCGGTAGCTTGGATGTCTCAATCGCCTCTCGTTTCATCCCATCGCCTTCCTAGCTTGCTCGAGGCTCCTGTACTTTCTCCAACTGACAATTTAGCTGCAGTATAGCAAGTTCCGAGCGTTTGTTTGCCATACAGAGTCAAACGAGGCACGAAGAGGATAAATAGTCTCACCGGATCAAGGTAAGAATGCTGCTCTCCTCATGCCACTTGATTCATACATCTGAATATCGTTCTCAATCCTTCATACCGCTGCTCGACAGTAAAGCACCATGTCCAGCCCAGAAGCTTACCAAAAGCAGATACAAGAACTCAGGCAACAAATACTTAGTTCCAGACCACGAGATATCATCGAATTCTGTGCGGACTTCTTCGCTCGCCAGCTAGCCGCCGATCAAGCCTCCGTCCTCTTTCCGAACACTACAGCCCGAAAACTCAAACCTTCGGAGACAACCTACGCAGCCATGTCGGGCTTCACGAGTCCTTTCGGCGCCAATGCCAACCCCTTCGGTTCGAGCGATCCCAATCCCATGCAGAAAGTCATCGAGGAGGAAGAGAATGATGCTGTAACATCACCCACCACCCCCAGCTTTGGAGTGAAGTCTGGGCCTGGCTCGGGGTTCCGTGGTCCATTTGGTGGTGACGGCATGACCGATGCTCCTCCATCTGCACTCAGAAGCCCACCCAATCCTGAAGGCTACCCTGCCCAATATAACTTTGGCCGTCGAACATCAGTCTCTGCTGAATCTCTGAAACCCGTGGCGGACACCTACGACAATTGGCAACCTCCCGTACATCCCAAGAGCCAAGAGCAGCTGGAGAGATTGAAGCACGCAATCGAGGGCAACTTTCTTTTCAGTCATCTTGACGAAGAACAAAGCGCACAAATCCTAGGTGCTCTGATGGAAAAGCCCATTCCGGCCAAAGATATCAAAGTAAGGCAGCATGCACCATGCTACAAAGCACAGATGTACCCGGCAACTCGCCGCTGACTCAGTTACAGGTGATTATCCAGGGAGATCCAGGTGACTACTTCTACGTGGTGGAAAAAGGATCCTTCGACGTCTTTGTAAATCCCGCTGGCTCGCTGCAGCCTGGATCAGAAGGCCTGGGACAGAAAGTCGGCACTATTGAGGCCGGCGGCTCCTTCGGCGAGCTGGCTCTGATGTATAACGCACCTCGCGCCGCCACAGTCATTTCCGCCGAACCGAACTCTACATTATGGGCCTTGGACCGTCTGACATTCCGTCGTATTCTTATGGAGTCGACTTTCGCGCGCCGGCGTATGTACGAGAGCTTCCTTGAGGAGGTTCCTGTGCTGTCTACTCTGACGCCGTATGAGCGATCCAAGATTGCCGATGCGTTAGAGACTCAGAAGTATCCGCCCGGAACAGAAATCATTCGCGAGGGCGATCCTGGCACAGATTTCTTCCTCCTCGAGAGCGGCGAATGCGATGCATACAAGACTGGCAACCCTAATTCCGTGAAACACTATGCTAGGGGCGACTTTTTTGGTGAACTCGCTCTACTGAACGATGCTCCCCGCTTGGCTAGCGTTGTTAGCAAAACTGAAGTCAAGGTTGCTGCGCTGGGCAAGTCAGCCTTCCAGAGACTACTTGGCCCAGTGGAGAGCATCATGAGGAGGACCAAGTACGAAGGCGTCAAGTCTGGTGTTGAGGAGATGGATCCGCTGCAAGCGGCATAGACTAAAGAGGTAGCCGGTCATACGGCAGTTCGAAACAGGGCTATTCTTGCATGGATGAACGGCGATGGGTTACTGAATAGGGATTAAGACAGGATGCCGGCCACTATCATGAAAGTGGTGGATATGATGGCGTTAAGGATCATTCAACCATTCCTTTCGCTCTCTTATGAAGACGCATTCCAGTGATAACGATCAGATACCTGTGGAAAAGAAGGAGCAGCAACAGTTGCTGCTTGTTATGTTACTATTCTTTGCTAACCTTGCGCGAAGCTCACAATAACTACGCCGCTGGATGACCCAATGCCTAAGCCCTTGTCTGTAAACTCCATAACTCCAAGCGCAATCTCTTTCCAAACCCTGGACTCGCTATCCATGACTGTTTCAAGGAAGCCTTCTCTTGCTTAAATGCACATCGACTAAACCTGAGTCAGAGAAATGCTTAGCTAGCAATCTTCCTAGCCTCCAGCACCTCCCTTCTAACGCTCTCAGCAGCGACTTCGGTCTCGAGCACCCTCCCGACGCCTCGCTTCCACGTCTCCTCGAGACTGCGAATCTCGCCCCCATTCTCGTCTTGTAGTCGGCGGCGCGCAATGGTCACAAGGTCAATCTCACGCTTAGAGGCAGCCACCTCCGCCTCCAGGGCTTTCAGCTCCGCGTCCAGCTGCCAGTTGCCGACGAGCCAGGCGTTCTTGCCCAGGCTGTCGAGGAGGGCGAGGTGCTGCCGCCGGGCGGTGAGGTACGTCGACGAGACGTAGGCCTGGCGGAGGGCGGCCTCGAGCTCGGCAGCGGAAGCGGTAGAGGGGTCGAGGTCCGGCGCCTCGTACCGGCTGAGGTCGATCGCCTTGAGCGGCGGCGGCTGCGACGGGTTGCTGGCGATGCGGTCGAGCTCGGCCTGGAGCAGCGGGGTAAAGGCCGGCTCGGCCAGCGGAGGGAGAAGCGCGTGCTGCGGGTCGTCGGGCACGGCGGCGCGTTCCGCGGCTATGAGGGCTTCGGCTGCTGCGCGCTCGGCGGGTGTTGGTTCTGGGTCGACGTCTGGGTGAGGCGTTAGCAGACTGGGTCGTCTGGAAGGGAGAAGATTGGCTGGGTGAGGAGGGAGGCTTACAGGGAAGTGACTCGTGGATGGTTGTGATGAGAGGCATGGTGGGATATTTTGTGGGATCTAAGACCCCTAGAGGATGAGTTGTAGCCTGGCCTTTCAAGCAACTATCTCACCAAGGCGGTTCCCGTGTGGTGGTTGCGGAGCGTGGTCGTCGTCGGTGCTGATGTGGGTTGTGATGGGATGGAAATAAACTTGCGGGCTTCGATCTGAAATTTAGATCTTTCCAAGCCCGAAAATGTGGGGAAGTTATACGCCAGGGCGTGTGTACAGACAGCTGATATTCCCATTTACACATTCATGTACGCCAATTATCTCAAGCTACAGAGTCTGCCTTAAGTTGAAGAATAAATGCAACCCGATGGACTTTCAATTAATACTACTGGAGGCATTATGAATTTGTTACGACACTAAAATAGGTCACATACATTCGAAGACGAAGCGCTTCTTGAAGGTTTGTGAAGCGCCACTACATACTTTAGATAGGTACAAAAGATGAGGGAAATTACGAAACGGTAACAAACGCAACAGCCAATGTAGCCAAATGCAAGGGACCATGAAGTTTTCGCGAACAGCAAAGTTAGGTGCTCACTTGCATGCAATATATCATATTGAAACACCTACATGGATTCAGGCACTGAACCCACAACTGCAAAACGGAGGCGCAACAGCGGGGTCCAACCAACTGCCCGCGCTAGCGAATACGCCTGCTTATCGGATGGTAACTATGACGAAAGAGTGCATGGGGCCTGGGGCACTTCACCTACCTGTATAGCTCGTAGCTGTTCACGAGACCACACGCTTCTCTCTGTGATATTCAGCTACTCCTCATAGCTCAACTTCTGTAGCGCAATACATGGACTTATTCTAAATTCAAACCCGCCAGTATTGGCGGCACATTCGGTTCTTCTCTTGTATTAGTCACGGTTGCTTTGATTTTCAGCCATGCCATCCAAGAGTGATAACTCGGCTGGTGAATCCACCTTTCGCGCAGGCACGCGAAGTCACGGAAGGACCGGGGAGTTGAAGCAAGTATCGCCCATCGGCTTGTCAAGAAGGACAGCCTTGTGGTTATTCAGCGCCACCTTGTTCTTCATCCTGGTGTTAGCTCGGATATCTTGCCCGAGTGTCTTCCCATCTCGTTTCTCATCATGGTTTCCAGATGGGGAGCAGGATGGCTCACGGCTTGACCAAGGAGACAAGTACCTGATTGGTGTGGGAAGGGCAGATATCACAGGGCCAGTTGTCGAGATAAACCTCATGGGGTATGCGGACCCGAAGCAGGTCGGCACTGGGTTGCGTCAACGACTTTACTCGCGTGCATTTATCGTGGGCGACGTCAACAAACCGGAGGACAGATTCGTCTATCTCGTGCTGGACACGCAATCCGGAGATACCGCCGTGAGGTACGGTGTTATATCTGGTCTAAAGGCGCTTGGCCCATCCTACTCTGCGTATGGCCACCACAATATCGCTGTCACAGGGACACACTCACATTCTGGGCCCGGAGGCTGGCTGAATTACCTCCTACCTCAAATCACAAGCAAAGGCTTTGATAAACAGGGATATCAAGCTATTGTGGACGGTGCAGTCCTGTCAATCAAAAGGGCTCACGAAAGTCTTCAGCCCGGTTATCTCAGCGTCGGCTCAACGCGAGTGCAAGATGCCAATATCAACCGCAGCTTGTTTGCATACCTAGCAAATCCTGAAGAGGAGCGGACAAAATATAATGTCAGTGCTGAAGATGACGGGTCAGTTGAGAAAGACTTGACTCTACTTAAATTCCAGCGAGCATCTGACGGCAAGAACATTGGTGTGCTCACGTGGTTTCCCACTCATGGCACTTCGATGCTAGGCAACAACACGTTGGTCAGTGGCGATAACAAGGGCGTGGCTGCTTATTTGTTTGAGGAGAGCGTGCGCACAAGAGGGTCTGCCGCAGATGGTTTTGTTGCAGGATTCTCCCAGGCCAATGTCGGCGATACTAGCCCCAACGTCTTGGGGGCATGGTGCGAAGACGGCTCAGGACAGATGTGTAGCTTCGAAAACAGCACGTGTAGCAATGGCAAGGCTGAGCATTGTCATGCACGAGGACCGTTCTTTAGAACGAACGACAGCGGTGCAGCATCTTGCTTCGAGATTGGCAGACGCCAGTTTGTGGCTGCCAAGGAGCTGTATGATGAGCTCAACGCAAACTCAAAGCCGGTTAGAGGCTCGTGGGTCAAGTCCTTTCACACATTCCACAACATGTCCGATTTCACCTTTCAGCTACCGAACGGATCTGTGGCGCGGACCTGCCCGGCCGCCTTGGGATATTCGTTTGCGGCCGGAACCTCAGATGGTCCTGGTGTGTTCGATTTCACTCAACATGATGGCGACCCCTCAAATACTTCTCCAGTGTGGCAAGTCGTGTCTCGCTTTCTCAAAACGCCTTCCGATGACCAACGAGAATGCCATGGTGTCAAACCGATCTTATTAGATGTAGGCGAGGTGTTCAGACCATACCATTGGACGCCTAACGTTGTGGATGTACAAGTGTTCCGTGTCGGTCAGGTAGTCATCATTGTTAGTCCGGGTGAAGCTAGCACCATGGCTGGCAGGAGGTGGAAAGATGCTGTGGGAAGCGAATCACTCGCACTCTTTGGAGAAGAGGTGCCTGCATTGACGCCAGTAGTGGTCCTGGGTGGCCCAGCAAATAGCTATACTCATTATATCACGACTGAGGAGGAGTACAGGTTAGTTTCTCCTTTGACAATCCCATCTATCACTTCACTAAGACTCTTCTAAGCATTCAACGATATGAGGGAGCTTCAACACTCTACGGACCTCATACCTTATCAGCATACATCAATGTTACGCTTTCTTTTCTTCCATATTTGTCTGCATCGGCCTCTGCACAACCGCCACATGACATTGAGTCGTTCCCACCGGACAACAGCAACCGCTCGCTCTCGTTTATCACCGGTGTAGTTCGTGATGCTCCACCTGTTTTCAAAAATTTCGGAGATGTCAAGGACGGCGTCAAGGCTATATACAATCGAGGCGCTATTGTTCAGGCAACTTTTGTTGGAGCGAATCCCCGCAATAATCTACGACTGGAGAGAACCTACGCTGCCGTTGAGAAGCTCATCATCGGCCCGAAAGGCAAGGTGTGGACTGTGATCAGAGATGACAGAGACTGGAGTCTGATTTTCAGATGGCGACGAACAAGTGAAGTGCTAGCTACTAGCGAAGTTGAGATTACATGGGAGACTGATATAAACGACGACAAAGGTGTCTATAGGCTGAGATACTTTGGGGATGCCAAAAGTCTCGGAGGGACTGTCACGCCGTTTGAGGGTACCACCAGTTCATTCATGCTTATCTGATTCTTTCCTATTCTTGAGGATATCATGGCTCTCAGTGGAATTGAATGGTTTGGAGTTCTGGTTGCTATCATCTCTCGAATCAATGAACTCACATATTCAACGGATAACGAAACAATGTCAGAAGCTGCCTTCAATTTTACCCATCGATTCTTCCAATGAAGTAACAAACCATTGCACGTCTGTTTCATTATACCAAGGTGATTCTTGTCATCGCCTTGTCCTTTGGGAAGAGTATACTCTTATCAAATATCTGAGTAATATTCGTCACACCGATTCCCAGTCTTCTGTATACGCTTTCCGTACCAATGATATGTTCCACGACTAGAAAGTAGAATTAGGCCTCTCTTAGCTTCCCACCGGTCTTTTGAGTGTCGATAACGGGCCCTCCGCGCTCGTCAAGACAACCTGCATAACACTCGAAGAAGACCTGATGGCGATCATAATGCAGTATTCGACGAGACAGATAACGCTCCTGCATGATCCATCCTCGCTTATCCCACTCAGAGCTTTCGAGCTCCTCTTCCAGGGTTGGCAGCTGTCTCGCAAAGTGGACTTCGTGGACATGAACATCGGCCTCATAGTCCCTTGGAGCGGATAGACCACTGTTTGCACCAGTACTGGCTGTCGCCGCGATGATGCAGACTGCATGCTGATACACATGGCTCATTGCCTTTGCCTCTCTCTCCCAGTCAACTGGATCATCTTGTACAATGCACAGGGCATCAACCCAGATATATCGTACGCCAAGCCTCCTAGTCACATGAATTGCGTCCTTGATGGTGTTGGGTAAGGCTGCAAACGGAAGAGCTTGTTGAAACGCAATGATGTTGGCGGACAGGGTTCGCACAACGTTGTTCCGTCCCCAATAGTAACTCAATGCGAGGTACGGAGCTCGGGTGCCCCCTGATTATCTGGTGAAAAATAATAATCAGTACGCTAAATTAGCGACAGGGAGTCCGCTGTCAACTCATTCACTGTCGATAGTCTCAAGGCTCCAGAAGAACTTAGCCCTGGGCTAGTACTATGCTATCTTGTAGCTTGACAACATCAAGGTTGCAGTGAACCTCAATCAGTTTGATACGTAGTTGATAGAAAATATCGTACAAAGCTTCGTAGTCCATAAACAACCTGAGCTTTCTTTGATCCACAATACTTTTATGGCCGAGGATTCATCACGGCCTTTACGGGCAAGCTTTATGAGTGAAAAAAAACTTCGAATTCTCCTCGATCTCTGAGGCTGGATATAGCCCCCACGACAGTCGAGCGTGTCAACTCTAGAGCCTCGTCTTACTTTCTCAACCCCGCCTGCCTGAACGTTTCGATTGCATGAATCCTTCTTCAGCTGGAGAAGTTTTTTATACATATTATTTTGGATCTCATCTTATGTCTATGCGAGAAAATTAAGATACGACTGCCGTGGAGTTCAGTATACTGCCAAGTAATTCGTCGTTGAAGGCCTAAACATGCAGCAAGCACACACCACGTTCTAAAAACAGATGATACCAGCACCACAAGTGCTGACCAGGGCAGTAATTAAGGACGATCGTTGCCCCTGACCCCACAGTCAGGGGTGGCTGAGCAGCTATCATCCACCACTAACAGGCCCTCTCGCTCGGAGCTTAACACTAAATCGACTCTTCACTTACACAACTCCGCCGTGACAGAGCACTTCTACCGGGCGGGGGTCACTGTACTAGGCAAAGATGCTATCATCGGGCCGTTGCAAGCATAGGACCTGCTGTTAGCTTCCGCCGCTTCTGACTACCGGGCAGGGTCTGTATCGAAACCAGTATTGCATGATTACTCAGGTCAATAGAGCGGAAGCGCATCATTGGCTGGCCTTGCGAGGTCACCTTGCCAAGCGCACACTGCAGAAGACACCGGAGTTCCAAGTCGAAGCTGACATACCCTGCTGGTCGCAATTTCGTAAAAAACCCCAAAGTCATCATCATATCACTGCGATACATAAACATGAGATCGGCCGCTTCGGGAGGGGCGGCGAGCGTGTTGTTCCTTCGCACGACTTTGTGTTCCGAAGGGTTGGTCTTTGGATTTTCTTTGTCTGATAGACGGTAACACTAGTGACAATGAGAGTTCAAGGGTTTCTGGCGGCCGTGTTGGCCGCGAGTGCGTCTGCGCTCCCCTACGCAGACCAGTCTGAGAGATCGGATGAAGCTCTCGAAAGTCATTTGAGAGAACGGCAAGATGTATGTTCTGGTCCGAGTCCGGGAAGTCCGAGTACATGGTGGCGTGCAGCAATCGGACACAACGGTACAACGCCGTACAGTTCCGATGATACATTTCAATACTACCGAACCGCCGTCCAGTATGGCGCAGACCCGACGGGAAAGAACGACTCTTCGGACGCCTTCAACTTTGCTATTGAAGGTAAGTGTTTACCTGATATACCAGATCTTTGCCCTGATAACCGTCTAACACGGGATTTGTAGCTTGGAGCCGAACTGGCAACACAGTCACGACCCGGCCAGCGTACATTTACGTTGAACCGGGCACGTACCGGATCAGCTCATCGATCCAAATGCTCGTCAGTACATTCCTGGTCGGAGATGCCCTGAAGCCTCCCACACTGGTGGCAGACGCGTCGCTCGGCGAAAATCCCGTCATCAATGGTTACGACTCGCATCAAGGGGATGGCTCAGCGACCAAGAACTTCTATATGACAGTCCGCAATATCAACATCGACACTACGGCTATTGATGTCAACACCGAGGCGCACGCCATGGACTGGAGTGTGTCGCAAGGTTGCGACTTGCGCAACGTGCACATCAAGATGCCCAACAGCTCTAAACATATCGGTGTCTCGATGAACAGTGGTGGCAGTGGCATCATAATCTCGGACTCTGTGAGCCAAGCTTACCCCCTGAATATAGTTTTGAACAACTGTTAACAGTCCTTTCGCAGACTTTTGAGGGCGGTGCTAAGGGCATTGAATTAAGCAACCAACAATACATTTTCAAGAATCTGTCCTTCAACGCGTGCAACGTTGGCATTTACATCAAGAGCGTTTTTGTTGCAACATTCCAGGGGATCACTTTCCAGAATTGCAATTACGGCATTGATATGGGCCGTGACGGAGCTGCTGGTGCCATCTCGCTGGTCGACTCATCGATCTCTACTTGCAATGCCGGCGTCAACGCCTACGTGAGCGGCAATGGAAACGGTGGCCTGACGATTGACAACTTCCAGGTTGCTGATGATGGCACGAAAGCAGTACTGTCCTCTGATGGCTCTACCCTACTCGCCGGATCTGTCCCCGTTGGACAGACCTGGGTAATGGGCAATGAAAGCCCACAGAATTATCAGTCTGGCAAGACTTATCCCATCAACCGACCCGCCGCTGTACAGTCGGGAGAGAAGTATGCAACCGTTCAGATGCCTCAGTTCGAGAAGTATGAACTTGATCAATTCGTCAGCATTAAAGGAGATCCTGAGTTCAATGTCTACGGAGACAATGACCACGATGACGGCCCAGCCATCAATGCTCTACTCAAGAAATATGCGGGATGCAAAATCCTCTTCTTCCCACAGGGAATCTACAAAACTAGCGAGACGATCTATGTGCCAGCTGGATCTCACATCGTAGGCGAGGCACATAGTGTCATCTCAGGCAGTGGTGACCTTTTTTCGAACGCAGATGATCCGCAACCTGTGGTCAAGGTCGGCGAGAAGGGGGAGACAGGCGTGGCGCAGTTCACGGACATTCTCTTCTCCGTCAAAGACATCCTGCCAGGCGCTATCGTTGTACAAGTTAACATGGCTGGCGCTCAACCAGGCGATGTCGGCTTCTGGAACTGTGTCATCCGCGTAGGAGGCTCCATCGACTCTTCCACCAGCACAGACTGTGGTGATGCTGATCCAAGCGGCTGCAAGGCAGCGTTTGCTCTTCTTCACGTCACCGACTCTGCCTCCGCTTACTTCGAAGATGTTTGGGGTTGGGTTGCCGATCACGGGCTCGACCCCAACACTGCGGCGCAGAACATTGCTGTCGGACGAGGTGCATTGATAGAGTCTACCAAACCAACTTGGTTCGTTGGAACCAGCTTCGAGCACTGCGTTATCTACCAATATTCGCTCAACAAGGCATCTAACGTCTACATCGGCCTGCAGCAAACGGAGAACCCCTATTGGCAAGGTGAAGGTACACCACAGCGCGCACCTGCCCCGTGGACCGCAGATGCAGCCTTTGGGGATCCGGACTTTAGTAATTGTGCGCAGCAAGGCGCATCCGATAATGACCGCTGCTACCGTGCATGGGCACATCACATGGCAGACAGCAACAACATTGTGATCCACGGCTCGGCGCTGTGGGTATTCTTCAACAAGATGAACGACAACAAATGGCAAGACGCCAACTGTGACAACACGGGCGGCGTCTGCCAGCTGAACATGGCTTTGGTCGAGGGTGCCAACTCGACGTTTTGGTACACGCTGAGCAGTAAGAGCACAACGAACTTGGTGTACGACACGACGGGCGGCACAGTGGCGCTCACGGCGCAGGAAAACAACCCCGGGAGCTGGGGCGCCGTGGTCTCGGCGTACCTGCGCGACTCGGGAGTGCCGGAGGCCCAATAGGACGGCGCGCCGGCGGTCTGGCAATCGGTGAGATGGGGACGAGGAGCAGCGCTGTTGTGGTGCTCGCTGGCCGCCGGCATTGTTATTCCTTTTGTGATCTGATCTGATCTAGTGTGGCACCGGGTATTGGTACATGTCGGTACTCAAGGTATATGGATGGTTTCCTAGAACGTACGCATAGGGAGGCATTTCAGGGCAAGGCATTCACGGGCATGACGATCTGATGGGCTAATAATGATGGCTGGGATGGCGAGGGCTGGCTTGCATTCCTTTTTATGTGTAAAGATGCGAGTGTTCAGCATACTAAGGCGTATTGAAAGAAGGCAAAGAGTTGAAGCCGAACTCCAACATATTCAAACCAGATCGTCTTTGAACAGCAAAGAGACACTTCACTTTTGAGGATTGAGTCAACTAAGCCGTATTAGAAGATAGTTCCTCAACAGATTCGGGATATTTAATTTGAAGTGCCATTAAGCTGTTGACACGCGACGCCGAAGGATACCATATGGCGGAGGATTGTGCCAGTGAACGGAGTTACCAAAGCAGTAAAGATTGCGCGATGCGGAGTAGGCAACGGGAGCTTTAAAGCCTATTGTGGGGTATTAGTTTAGTATGTACAGTACACAGTAAAAGCAGGTGAAAGCTGATTGATTAGGTGCGTGCGCCCGTGCACATGGCTGCCGAGGCATCTTCACATGATGATGCATGCGGTCATAGGCCCGGCCGAAGCACCAGCGAGCGAGCGGGCGGCTGCTACCGTACTTAACTTTGTCTCCGTCCCCGTTCATCCTCTCCGCTTCATCGCAATAAGTACACCGTGACATATAACAATCGCCTCCAGTTCTCCCGCGCTCTAAATTTGTTGTCTTCTATCTCTATATTCTTATCGGCTTCTCCCAGCTTTCTAGACTAGTCTCGACGTTCCAATCATGTCTCTCCAGAACGGTAAGCTCGGCCAATACACCAGTTCCGTTCAAGCTTTGCTGACATCGATCCTTCGGCACATGCAGACAAGTTCCCGTCTTCCGCGGCCTTCGATGCCATCAATGACGCTCTGAACGCCAGCGAGGCGGACAAGAAGGACGCCATCAAGCAGGGCAACGCCGTCTTCGCATTCACCCTCAAGAACTCCGCCGGCGAGACCGAGAGCTGGCACATCGACCTCAAGGAGAAGGGCCAGGTCAGCAAGGGACTGCCCGAGAAGGCCAATGGTGCGCCTTCCTCCATACTACAATTGCGTGGTCTTTACGAGTGGCTGGACTAACATTGCTGGCGCATTACAGTCACCCTCTCACTATCAGACTCCGACTTTGGCAACCTCGTCGTCGGCAAGGCCAATGCCCAGCGGTTATTCATGTCTGGCAAGCTTAAGATCAAGGGCGACGTCATGAAGGCGACCAAGCTGGACCCCATCCTCAAGAAAGCGCAGACCAAGGCCAAGCTGTAAATGTCGAGTCCTTATTTCCGGTGCTGTCGTGCATTTGGCGTGGGTTGGTTCTCTGGACACACACTTGACGGCGCAAGCCAAGACCAACAAGATCATACTGTATCATTATTCCGCATATACCTGATCTAGGTACCTACCGGCCTACTTCATCCAATTCACATGTCGCATTCTTGCGATAACTGATACCTCGAAGCTTGTTGAAATGGCAGCATGCTGCAGCGATGACGCTCAAGTGCAGTGACACATCTGATTCCGTTCTATTTCTGGTTGTAGACTTGTGAAGAGTGCCCAAGACATGGCTTGGACGGATCTGGGCGACCCATCTCGTTGTGCCGCTTCCGGGTGCTTGGAATGCGCTGCGCAGGAACAGCGATTCGGGGCGCTGTGAGCTAACTTTAGCTGAGTGCTGCGAGCTCTACCATGTCACCAGCCACAGACACTCCACTATGAATCATTGCGCGCCGTTCTGATTGCCAATACCAATATTTGTCGATACTGGAATTGGAAGCCTTTTCTTAAGTGCCTGTTAACTGGTAGTGACTGCTCTTCTCCGCAGCGTGTTGTGGTGATGCCATAAGCGGCGCCACCTTCGGGACGATAGCTTGTACGCTAAAACTTGACAAGTGTAAGACGTGATCGCAAAATTGGAGCCCTGTAAAACCCGCCATACTTCCCGTACCAAAGTTATCAATGAATATCTGAAAGACGTATTGAACCTCTTGAGCCCGCCTAAGAGTTGCTGAAAGTGACTGATGAAACTTAATTAAGCAGTTCTCTAATCCTAAGAAATGGTGAGACTTTCAAAGGCCCTCTTGCTTGGGAAACTGCTGTAGGGGGATGCAAGCTCACATCTCACAGGTGCACGCAGACGCATCCAATTTCGCGGACAATGTCTCCAAGCCGGATGCTTACACGCAAGTGCTAGAGCAGGCCGAGGCTCTTTTCGACGGTCAGAGGAATTGGGTATGTTTCCTATCAAATAGTCGAATTATTAAAGCACGAGCTTGTCTGACAACCCCTTGATTGTGTAGGTCGCGTGAGTCTCTCGGTAGTTTTCTCCTAACTCTTCTACCCCTGACTGAAGCCCCCAGTAATCTATCCAATGCCGCATCTCTACTATGGCACGCATTCAAGTCGATGCCGACCCCCAGTAAACAGGTAAACTGGGCGGGTATGTTGCTTCGCAATCATGAGCTCACGTCATCATCCCGCATTGCTCACACTGATTAGGTTTCTACACGCTTGATCTGCTCTCATCACCCTCATCACCCTCTCTCATCCTAGGTCCCTTCCAAGGGAAGGTAGCCTGTCAGACGATCGCGTTCGGGCGTGGAGTGTGCGGTGCCGCAGCTGCGGCAGCAGAAACCCAGCTTGTCCCGGACGTCGAGCAGTTTCCCGGACATATCGCCTGTGACGGAGACAGCAAGAGCGAGATTGTTGTTCCCATTGTGGTGGAAGGTGATGCGAGAGCTGGCTCGGTGGTTGCTATCATTGACGTTGACTGCGCCGAGGTGAATGGCTTCGATGAGGTGGACAAGCAGTTCCTGGAGAAGCTGGCTGCGCTTTTGGCGCGGAGCTGTGACTGGCCCAGTCGGGTCTGAGGCAGGACACTGTCATGAATCAGAAAAGAATGAAGTGTACTTCAACATTGTAGATTCATGAGAAGGACGAGCCAAGCGAGGTATAGGAGGCTTTAGCAACGCGATTCTCGATGACATTTGAGTTTAAGCAATGCATTGTGTGGCGAGACTATTCACATTACAGGCTCCGTCCATAATTAGCCACACCGACAGTATTTGGTGGTGACCAACCTGGGAGTTCGGGCATGATCTCGTCCATCTTCATGAGCCAATGTTGCGGATCCTTCGTCTCCAGCATGGACTCACTGTTCGAGTGGTCGAATTCATCCTCTGCATCAGTCTCCCAGATCACACCTATTTCCTCTGCCTCCTTCCTCTCGTCGATTGTCAAAATACGTGAATTTCGCCTTTCAAGTGTAGCAGTCATTATGTCTCGATATGTTCCCTCCAGAAAATCGCGAAGTGTACCTTGGTTTTCTTTATATGCCATCTCAATATTTTCCATCAGAGAGTCGAAAATAGAACCTAATTCGGCATCTTCTTCTTCTTCCTCGTAACCAATACGGCGACGGTGGAACGGATTTTGTTGGCAGCAAGTGTGCTTCATCTGCATTTCTCGAAAGGTGACTGCTCGAATGCAGTGCGGTAGTATCCAAGATTCACTTATCAAGTCGACCCCGCAAGACGTGAGTATGTCGAAAAGCTCGAGTAGAACGGGAATTGGTTCATAGTTCCCTATGATAGCCATCAGGAGATATGTTAAAGGATAGCAGCCGTTCGTGGTGCATTTGCATCCACATCCGTCACTGAGTTGCGTCGGGGCCCCTGAGCCTAGTAAAGGTTGAACTACGTGTCCATACAATGGCCAGGAACCGGCAAGTTGATACAACGCTACATGGCAGGCAGAAAGTCTTGAGTCCGATCGATTTTCAAGGTATGGTACATCGAGTCTGGCTCCGTGTTCCAGAAGCCAGTTGACGTAGGGAATGTTGACGGAAGCCTGGGCGCGTGCAATGGGTAACCTGCCATAATAGTCATATCCATTGATATCCCTGAATCCAAGCTTATATGCGTAGCTTGCCGTAGCTGTATCATAGATCCAGGCGTAGATAGAGCCCCAATTTCGGAACTGTCTCTCAAGCGTAGGACGTAGAGTAATGCCGCTCTCCTTAAGCAATCCGATAATCTCTGGAATTCGTACATCTTGCAATTGATCTCCAGCGACGCCAATTGGGATTGACAGCAGCCGGGTCGCCACCCCCTGAAGTTCTAAACATCGACTCTTGAGGTGCTCCAATATCAGCTGCTTTGTTCTCAGAGAACCAACAAGACAAGATGAGGGGGAGCTGCGTTTTGCGATACGAGCGCCGAACTGCAGAAGCAGTTCTGTCGACCTAGAACATTCGCAGTTGTGGCATAACATATCATGACTACCTTCACAGCAGCCAACCTCGCTCAAGGCTAATGCAATGTTTAGCGGAGTACAACCTCTAGCATCTCGTTGGTCAATGTCCATATCATCGGTCGCCCATTCTAAGATCAGTTGAAGCCCGTATGGCCATGTTGCCGCCACATGGATAGGGGTCATTTTCGCCATATTGGAGCAATATTCTAATTCCCAAACATGCTTTTTCATGGTATGCAACGTGTCTCGATCCTTACGGAGTATAGCGTTATGTATAGGTCCGAACCCAAGAGCTATTCTTCACGTCAACTTTTGATCTCGGAAAGGCCTAGGAAATCTCGGAGTAAGCTAACCTTCTCTCGAGCTTTCGTTGAGTAATTTGAAGAGAAGGTTGGACCAGTCTTGAGTGGTAAAATATCTGAGGCCGACAGTGCCATGATGCAAGACTTCGTCGGACCCATGAATACGAAGCATATTGCACATCTTGGTCCATGCCATTGTTCCTGGAATGCTCTCTGTCCTTTCAAGTATAATCTGGAATGGACTCCTAAAAGCAGTAAGCCTAACAAAAACTCTTCGGCCTTTTGTGTGATCTGTGACTCACCGTCCCAATATGCCGGCATCCACAGGAGCGCGGAAATGAACAACGAGGGTCTCTATAAATGGTTGCATCAACTCAAATATATCTTGTGTCTTCCTCACCTAGAAGGACTATAGTTAACATTGTAATTGATATAACGAAATTTGATACCACGAACCCGCATATGGTGAAACTCGCATAGAAGGTTAACAACCGCTTGCACTATCGACTCTCCATCATGTGCGTAATCTGTGACGTGTGACTTCCGACAGAGGTACACGTTATATAGTCTTGACATATATGAGAGTAGTACTTCTGGCTGATAGTGTGTATTCAAGCTGTAGCGGAACAAGTCAAGATACTGACCAAATACTTGGGTAAGTAAAAAGGCAGGAGACGCATTCCGGTCGACCAGATGGTGGTATCGAAGTGACGGAGTAATACTTCCAGTGCCAGCTTCTTTTTTTACAGATAACGTAAATTGCAACGCAGTTGATATGAGGTTGGGGAATCCAGTGTATATCAATCCATAGGTTCGCTTATCCATTGCGGTTATCATATCGAAAAGGGGGCAATCAGGGAGGTGAGACTTTTCTGTGCTTCTCTCTTCGTGGAGAATGAAATAACCCCATCTCCTGGAACGGCGATAGCTACATCTAGTCAGGACCCCCGAACAGGTACATAATGATGCTTGCAGTTGCGGTTGTGCCATATCAGTAGTAGGTTTTCTCGAGCCTGCGACCACAAAAGTTTTGCGATTATGGAATCCTACAGGAACTCGAGTGCTCTCCGAGTCCACAGTGATCGGATGCTTCGCGAACGAGCCCTGTAGCTAAATTAGTCAAAATTAAGCTGTCACAGAGTCATTCATCGTATAGACCCTTACATCGCTTGGCCGAAGGAGTTCCTGAATTTTTTCAAGCTGTGCAAGTATTCTATGGTTATCATGTCGAAGAATACTTTGCACAGCATCATGTCGCTTAGCATTATGATGGAATGATACAGAAAGTTTTTCAGCTAGGTCATGATTGGACTTGTCAGCTTCCAAAATTTGGTCATCAACAACGCTTCTCATGTCATTGAAGTTTTGATCTATGAGTGGCAGAAAACCATCGATCTGTCGTGAGTGGTACTGGAGAGCGGATTCACTGTCAGCCATACGAGCATCAACTCTGTTCTCTAATTCGTCGATCTTTGTGGTGAGAGATTGGGAGGTGGCTAATATGGATGACGTAGTGTCCTGAATACTTGAAGACAGATGGCTAAGACCTTCGATGAGCGAGCGACTATTACTGCTTGGGAAAGGGGAGATACATGTTGAGAATAAGCAGAGCGCTTTGTAAAACACTGATTGCAGCCTCGAGCCTTTTCTCCAAATTCTGTACCTTGGTGAGATGGAATGGATATGCCATCATCTTTCGCTTAACCTTCATTTTCTTGATGACATATCCTATAGCTGGGCTGGTAGGGTACGTGACAGAAAATTGAGATGCATCCTCATCACCAAGTTCCGAGATCTGTTTCGCCAAGTTCCTGAGCTGGTTCTCCGAGTCAAAGAGGCACTCGCGGACAACAGCGGTCGCCTCTCTATGTTTGGCTGCGTGAGTGTGGGTAGCAGTTTCGATAGCCCTGATCAGTCTACCAAGGCTCTGTATATGACGGTGTGCAGAGCGAAGTTCTCCTCTGCGATCTTGAAGCGCCCCGATGTATTTTGCCACTCCGTTCACAATCTGCATCCCGAGCGAGACCAGCCCAAAGGCTGCGCTGGAGATGGACAACGGGTCCATTTCCTCAGCAAGCTTTGGATTTGGGTGACAAAGTATTTGATGACAAAGTTTGACTCCTCAAGGAACTATGAGCGATTCAATATTTGATACAATGGGTTGATTGGGTCTGCAGGTCGGAAGCCGAACATCAGTCACCTTGAGGCCCCGGACGTCGGCTCTCATGATTCGTCGACTGCGCAATATGTGGCGTGTTAGGCGTTTTTTTCGACCTCTAGTGATTCTTGCCACGCTCGCTTTCACGATTCCTCTAGCTCTTCTATTAGACATAGGGAAAATGGCAAAGCATGATGCACCGTTAGCCGTATGTTTAGATATCGGGCAGACTGGCATCCAAATCAACACATCAGAGTGCCTGACCATTATCAAATTTCCACGTCTCGGGAGAGATTGAAGGAAGTTAGGACATTTCGACTCGAGTGATTCGCCTTCATGCTGCTTTGTCATAGAAGATGGTACAATAACGAGATAGACAGGCCATCCATTCAACGAGGAACGCTTATGCGCTCATAAAGATGAGAGGGCTGAGACCTTCAACATAAAGTCATCCGGAAAAGTGAGGAGGCTTCGTCAGTTGATCGCGATGCATGGTGATTTCCTGAACAGAACAAGACACAAGAAATTTTGTTGCGAATTGATACTACGCGTACGCAGTGGCTCAATTATCTTCGGAATGATGTTGTACCGATGAATGAGTAGACCACGCGGGGGGATGACAATGTCGCTGAGAATCAGAATGGAAGCCACGCGTCCAGCCCTATTTCTTGGCGACGAACATATTATAAGACAATGGAATGCATCCTCAGTACGCAATGTTGTGTCCTAGCAAAGCGAAGAAATCTAATTCACAAAATCTCCCTGTAAAAGCGCCAACCTGTATTCGTGGACATGGCTGCCGCTGGTGGCTTGTGCACCGATTGCTTTAGGGGAACACTCCGGGGTGATGTTGAGCCTGCCGGTACTGTGGAGACAATCCACGGCTTCCCTACCTACGTCGCCCGACCGGAGAACGGCAGACAGCCGGATGGGTTAGTTGTCATAATCTCGGACGCTTTCGGCTGGGAGCTTCGCAACACGCGTGGTTTGGCCGATGCTTATGCTCGTCGTGGTCCTTTTCTCGTTTACTTACCTGACTTCGAGGACGGTCAGTTTGCTTGCGCGTTTTCTGACATATCATGATGAATTAATTGACTGAGACGCCACCAACAGGACATGCACCAGATGTTTCATTCCTCTCGCTGGTAGACAAGCTTCACGCACCGAATAAGTCCTGGGCTACTTCCATATTCAAGGTCCCATTTTGGTGGGCTCGGTGGCTTCTTATGACTGCATACATGTACTGGTACATTCGCCCAGGCCGCTGCAGGCCTCGAGTATGGACATTTTTCAAAGCTCTGCAGGACTCACTGCCCCCGGAGCCTTTCACTAGCCCTCCGAAGATCGGTGTCGCTGGCTTCTGCTGGGGCGGACTGTTTTGTGTACAGCTATGCGGCGAGCCGGACCTTGTGACCTGCGGCTTCACAGCACACCCGTCACTGTTGACCGTGCCGCGTGATATCAATGCTGTACAGAGGCCATTGAGCGTTGGGAATGGCGAGGATGATGAGTGGCTTGGGCGGAAGAATATGGATAAGCTAAAGGAAATCCTGGAGGTTAAAGAGGGTATGGAGGTCATTGTGTATAAGGGCGCACATCACGGTTTTGCAGTCAGGGGTGACCCACATGACCCTCGACAGATGGAGCTGGGAATGCGCGCTGAGGACCAAGCTGTGGCCTGGTTCAAAAACCACTTACAATAGAGGTGGTGCTCTTTGGTATTGCTCTAATACGATTCCAAACGAGTCCCTTTCTTATCCTTTCAATGATGAACGGTAATGATGGGTGAATTGACAATCCTTCGTGGTGATATATTAGATCATCGACTCGATCCGTTTTTTTACATGAAAGATAGATAACGGTCATGCACGAAGACAGAGTACAATGAGACATAGGTTTGATAAAGTATTGCAGAATAGGCGTGTATTACTTCGCAAGACTAAAGCTTCAAGAGCTAGCTAGACTCAGAGTTCATTTATTCGAGAATGGCCAATGGCCATTAACTCGTCCTCCAAAATTCGGCATCATCATGAGCCGTCCATGGATAGCAAAGACCAGATTTGAACCTTCGGCATTGTAGAAGACCTAGCAATCGAAGTGGTGACGGTCGTACCAGGTATCGTGGTTCTTGTCGACACCCTGGTCGGACCAGCCGTTTTGGTACTCTTTGCCGAGATACTTGAAGAAGGACGGGAACTCCCACTCAGGAGTCACGACGACGTAGCCTGGGAGCTCTGTAACGTTAATAGTCAGTAAATGGTCTCGTATTGTATGAGCCTGTCCCCATATCTGGAAAGAGCGGGAACCGAGGTTTTCTGAACTCAGGAGGGGCTTCCCTAAAGGCTTAAGGAAAGGGTCAAACTCACCAGAAGCAACAGACGTGGTCTTCTTAAACACCAGCTTGTCATGGAATCCGATGACCTTGCCTGTATACCAGATTAGCTTCACTTTGTTTCCCGATTATTCTGAGTTGAATGTAAGATTATGTTGACTTACAGTTGAAGTCCCAAACGTAGGCGTACATGGGTTCATCCTTCCAGCTCAGGTAGAGACCGAGGGCGCAACGACCGTGATCCTGCTTGACGCAGCAGGTAACCTTGTCGCAAGGGGGAGCAACCCAGCCGTCGAAGCGAGCGGTGTCGTTCAAGTCGATCGCGGTGTTGAAATCGCCGATGGCCATCCCGAAGGCAATGGCGACGAGAGCAAGAATGCTGATGAGACTCTTGATGAGGGCCATCTTGAGGTTACTGAGAGGCAAAGTCAGTGGGTATTGCTTAGTTCTATGCCTTTGATATGAGATTGAAAGGGAAACTGTGTTGTTGTCGAATAGATGCTTGTGTGTGCTGGTTTAGGATTTGGTGAGATGGAGCAACGAGGGATGGGTTTGCAGATTTCCGTCGAGACAAATCTCATTATATTCAGCGCAGCATGCGTTGTATGGGGAGTACGAGAAGGAGAAAGACGATACGTACTTGTGGGTAGGTTGGGTTTCTCGCCCGGAAGATGACTGCTTGGTTTGTGGTAAGGGCAGGAGCGGGTTATTAGATCAGATCAGGTCAGGAAAAGGATCTCGGTGAGAAGAAGAACGGGTTTATATGAAGTTGTCTTGGGAATGAGAAATATGAAAGTGTGTACGGCGACGGTCACGGGGAAGGAGGTGTGAAGATGCCGTCTACTGTTTGTTAAGATCAGACGAAAACCCATTCACCACTAAACAAAGGTTACTGTGCATGGACTTGATTGGAGTTGAAAAGATAACCGAAGCACCTAGAATCACATAATAATTCGGTATTGTTTGCATGAAAGACAGCTTTTATTCATATGCAAGTTCATTTTGACATTCTTTCAAAAGCGTAGCAGGTGTCCCTGATAGAGGTATCTCTAGCTTAAAGTCGCTCACAGGCTCTCATACAAGCTGTCTGCCTAATCATCAATAATGAGACTACATAATTACAGTTTGCAAATATTAATACTACCAATGATGTGGCGTATTTGAATTTGAAGGTATTGATCACACAAATGCCGGAGTACGTGTTCACATGACAGAAAGCATTCTGACGAGTATACAGGCACAAAGTAATTATCTTCTAGAGACACAGATATAGGAAGTATTACTTGACAATTTATTACATTGAGGAGACTTACTGCATATTTTCACTAGAGGATTGCTGCCATTAACTTACGAAAATGAGGTGTTAAGCTTCATGTAGGCATTCAGGTAGGTAATTGAGGATGGATAAACCCCTATTCTGGAGATGTGGGTAGCGCACGGACCACCCTAGCGAAGGTGGCTTTCCATTGCTCCACGTGTATGAGAGCTCCCACAGAACACTCTGCAAGCCTAACCGAACATCTTCAACTACTCAACCGTCACCACAGCGCAACCAAGTCAAGATGGATCCATACTCGGCCGAAGGAGAATTGATCAACATTCATAATCACTTCCACCAGGGACAGTACCAGGAAGTGGTCGACTTCGACACCTCGTCGCTGTCCTCAGAGAATGAGCTCCCCGCCCGAATCCTGAAGCTTCGCGCGCAGATCGCACTCGGCCAAGCAAAAGATGTTGTGGCTGATGTGAAGGGAGAGAAGGAGCCTGAATTAGTTGCGATCGGCGCACTCGCAACATACACCTTGGGCAAGGAGGATGATGCGGTGAAGACGATCGAGAAGCTGGCCGAGTCGAATGGCGACAATGCGGTTGTACAAATCATCGGTGGCACAGTCCTGCAGGCCGCTGGCAAGTCAGAGGAGGCTCTTGCCTTGCTATCACAGCACCAGGGCAACCGTATGTCGCACAGCTTGGCCGGTAGTATAGGCTCCGCTAACATACCTCCGCAGTTGACGCCGTTGCTCTGATCGTCCAGATCCATCTCCAGCAAAACCGGAACGATTTGGCCTTGAAGGAGGTTACAGCTGCGCGGAGATGGGCACAAGACAGTCTATTGGTCAATCTTGCAGAATCATGGGTTGGACTACGACAGGTATGTGGTGACATTGATAGGAGACCGCCGATAATTGACCTTTGTATAGGGCGGTGAGAAATATCAGCAAGCCTTCTACGTCTTCGAAGAATTGGCACAAGCCCCGTCTACATCGTCTCTCACATCCCTCGTTTCACAGGCTGTGGCGGAACTACACCTTGGCCGTACAGAAGAGGCGCAGGCCGCACTGGATCAAGCATTGAAGAAGGAGCCTGGTTATGCCGAGGCAATTGCCAACTTGCTAGTCTTGACGGTGATCACTGGAAAGGATCCTAAGGAATTCACTAGGTACGACTTTCTATATTCCTCTCATATAATCGTTTTAGGTATGCTGACTGTGCATCTCTTTAGTACACTGCAAAAGGCCGCTCCTCAGCATCCCTTCCTTGTCGATCTCGAGGAGAAGAGCGCACTGTTCGACAAAGCGGCGACGAAATACAGCGCGAAGGTGTCGGCGTAATGGATCGTCGACTCCGAAAAGAAGCATGGGGCAAAGGGTCTAGACTCTGAATGACGGCTGTATGCATTTGGGATCAGCGCAATGAAAAATGGCGTTTTGTGGAGATAACGGTCCTGGACTCGACGATAGATATCGAGCATCAAATTCAATAACAGGAAAAATGGACATGACCTAGTATTGACATCTCCCGCGTCTCCTACCTAGTGTTCGCGGTCGAAGAAGGGACATCGTGGCTTGTCAAGTTGACATCATCAGCAGCATCGTCGCGTCCTATATCGGCAAAAAGAGTATGTGGCTTTCGAGTTCCTAATGCTTCGATTAACGCGCAATGACGGAATTCTCGTCAGCCATGTCGGGCTGCCTCGTCTTCTGCACAACAAATTAGTCTCTGCCACAGTGAGAGTGTGGTGCCTCCCTTCGACAAGGCCTGGAGATAAGCGCCGTCTACCCTTATCTTCACCGCTCCGTGGGCGAGAAATGGTTCACGCAGTCGAAAGATTGGCTGTGAGGCTCTCGGAGGAATTGGCCAACCCACTTGCGTGCGTCCTTGAACAGCATTGCCAGTCTGCAGGGTCGAGGGAGTACTATCGTTGCGTCCAAGCTCACGTGTGAGACGCTTGACTGCTTTCAGCCATAGTTTGGCGCCTTTGCAGCGGATTGCGCGACTCACACCTTTAGATATGACATCATCTCCCACTGCCTCCGGCACTGGGACTGAGAATGCAGATTCCCATCCACGCATCTCCACAGCCGTTTCATCGTGGCTCAGAGGAAACCCCATGTCGTGAATGTTTACGCAGGGTCCCTGGTTTATTGTCAACATCACTCAATATCCTGCATGAGGCTAGCGGCATTGGATATTGTGACGAGGGATCCCGGCATTGCAGGAGAAATGCCCCTCATTGACCCCTCATTCCATCACTGAGCATGAGTGTGCTGAGGTGTGCTCCTGATCGAATGTAATGTTCCATGTGAAGATCCTCCCTAGCCGATCTTTGGCGACGCTTACTATCAACACGAGGTTGAGTGGAGAGGTATTTGAGGTTGTTCAGTATTGGGATGGGAGACGAGCGGATTAGAACCGTCGAGACCAGCAGAATGGAGGCCGGGCCCTGACTATCCTTCGATAGACTGAAGATCTCAATGGCCATTGGAGAGAACTCTAAATTGCTAGCCCCGTCGAATTTGAGCGTGGCGACAATAGGAGATCCAAGGAGATACAATTGTTCTCGCAGTGGAAAGTGTCTGGCCTCTGTTAGTCCAGTCTGGTATAATCCTCTAAAATGCCCGAGTGGGTCTTCTCCCGGCAACTGCGGTCAGAATTTGACTGGCCTTGTCCAGAGGCATGCATGGTGACGATTGGCATGCATTCAGGCCGGTCCGGGCTGCTTGTCCGGGCTGCCTTTAGAGTGCGACCGAAGACTATGGACACCTGAGTCTTGGCCCTGCTTGCGGCTATGCCACCCCAAATGCACCATTACGCCGCATGGCGGCGCCCGAGGTTGACGAGAGCCTCTATGACACCCTTATCTCGACGGGTTACTAAGGGGCCTTGACTCGTTTCGGTGATGACGGGACACCCGTGAACTGTCACGATAATGACTCTTTCAAATATATAAACGTGGTTTGCATCTCCCTTCCTCTAATCTCCCATCCCCTCTATCATCATCATCATCATAGATTTCAAGTCGTCATAGAGTATTTAGCAAGACTGAGTCTTTTTGCTTCATATACCAGCGTATAGAACAGCATTCGCACTTGCATTTCCAGACTTTTGAATCATTTTCGTTGTTTTAACAACCCACCAAATTCAAGATGCCTATTGCTATCACACCTCCGGCTATCACCGTCAAGGAGGCCCCTGGCCTACCCGCGGTTGGTGAGAACAAGAAGAGGAAGATTATGTGCTTTTCAGGTACGCGAGACGCTTGCCCCCGTTCTCTCTCCACCATAGCGTTCCGCTAACAGTCTTTACCCCAGACTTCGATGGCACCATCTTCATGCAGGATACTGGTCACATTCTCTTCGATAACCATGGCTGCGGCTCATCGAAGCGCGAGATTCTCGACGAGCAAATCAAGACCGGCGAGCGATCCTTCCGAGATGTCTCTGAGGAGATGTGGGGCTCCCTGAACGTCCCCTTCGATGATGGCTTCGAGGTCATGGAACAAAACCTCGAAATCGACCCTGACTTCCAGGGCTTCCATGAGTTCTGCATCAAGAACGAAATTCCCTTCAACGTCATCTCTGCCGGCCTGAAGCCCGTCCTTAGAAAGGTGCTCGACACCTTCCTTGGTGAGGAGCAAGCTGCGCACATCGACATCGTTGCCAACGATGCAGAGATTACCGAGGACGGCTCAGAATGGAAGCCGATCTGGCGTCACGACAACGAGCTTGGCCACGACAAGGCCATTTCCATGAAGGAGGCTCGCGCTGAGGCCGAGCTGCAGTGCGACGACGGCACAATTCCCCTGATCGTCTTCATCGGCGATGGCGTCTCAGATCTTCCCGCCGCCCGCCAGGCTGATGTGCTCTTCGCCCGTCGTGGTCTCCGTCTCGAGGAGTACTGCATCGAGAACAAGATCTCGTACATCCCCTTCGACACCTTTGCCGACATCCAGAAGGAGTTGACCAAGATCATGGAGGAGGACGAGGCCAAGACCCAGGGCAAGGGCGTGCCGGCACGCTTCAATCCTCGCGCTAACATGTGGCGCCGCGTCAGCAGCAAGACCGCTGTCCCGCGCTACATCGTCATGTCGCCGACGAAGGAGGAGAAGATGTTCTTGTGGCCCGAGGCCTTCAGCGAGCTCAAGACCCCGAGTATCGAGAAGACCCTCGAGGCTGTCGAGAACGCCATTCCGGCCATCCCGGCCGCTTAGACCGTGGCTTTTCATCATTTCGTTGTTCCATTCCTTTTCATTTCTTCTTGTCATCAATAGGGAGCAAGGGCATCATCTGGGAGTTTGGGAAAGGTTCCGTGCAGTAAAAAACGGATTATTGGGAATATGGGATGGCGTTCAATATAAGCCAAGGACCCAAAGTCATCTATGGCTGGTCATCCGGCGTTTCACTACAATGAGGGAGGTACGCCTCCAGTTCTTATTAGAGGATAGAAGCATGAATGACGATCTTCTACATTCTATACAAAGTGTTTGACCTATCGTGTGAATGGCGCGCGTGAGATTATGAAGGACCCCGCGAAATGAAGTAGGGGATATAGGAGCTGGGTATTGGTTGGTGTGGCAGTACCCCGCTGCCAATGAAGCATCGTCAACACTGGGAGACAGCCGGGAACTGGGTTTGATCGGCTTAGGGCTGAGCTGAGAACAGGCTGCGTCATCAACAGCCTTGGCCAAAGAGCAGTGCTGTGCTTCCTGCTTTCTTCAGCAAGCGAGCTTCTATTGTCTCTGGCCGTGATGAGTGCTGGACCGACGACCCGGTGAAATCGTCAGAACTTGAATAGACCATTGGTGGGAAATGTCATTTAGACACCGACTGCTAGACTAGGAAAGACTTGCTCTCAATGACAGCAATGACTTAGCGGCCTCCCTTTCAGCCTTTCGTGCGTAGAACGATCCATCCCACCATCCTTCGGCTGCTTCCCGGTCATTTTATAGCACACGACACTACTTTGGACTTACATGAAGGCACCGGCTGAACAGCGAACACATCCCGTGGTAGGCAAGTAGGGCTTCCCCTTCTCCACTGGCAACGGACGGACTCGGACGCAGTTCAAATGCCGTTTCTCCTCCAAATGTGGTCCTGGGAAACGGCCATAAAATGTCGCAAAAGGAGTTTACATCACCCCGAAAGGTTGGAACTAGCTCGAGGGGTTAGTGACGGCAGTGTGCCTCTAAGGCGCCGTTCCGCCCGTCCACACGAGCAGCATGCATTCACGGAGTTGGCAGCCAGCAGTAGGTAGGTAGGTAGGTAGGTAGGAGGTAGCGACGGACGTTCGGCAAGCCTGGCAGCCTGGACGACCTACCTAGGTAGGGCCTGGTGTGCTGGTGGTGGAAGATGTCGATGTCACAGGTCTATTGTCTATTGGGAAGCCTGGCAAACGAGCGAATGAAGGCTTGAGACGGCCAAGATTGCGATGCGTCGCCTGCAATGACGCTGGCTGAGGCAGGGCATTTGGATGTAGCGGTACTCATCCAAAATAGAGACTGTTAGTGTAGCAGAATGGCAGATCTCTCGATCGCCGGAGACGAGGTGGCGAATTGCTGGGGCTTGCTTGTTTGGCACGTTTAGATCGCGCAGATGGGCGGGCACACGAGCTAGGATGGAGCAGTGGTGCACTAACAGGAAATGGCCGAGTGGAGGTACCGGCGACTCAAGACGCCGAGGCGGGAACAGACGAGACGGACCAACCTGTGACGTTTTTGACCCCAGAGCGAGACCAGAGGACCAGCCCAGCAGCCAGCTCGTTCATAGACAAGAGACCGACAGACAGACAGACAGAACACTGCCTACGGTACGGGGGACGGGGCAGAGTCTCAATTCCTACATCAGCTCAGCTCTCCTCCTGTTTCTCCTAATCGGCTGCTGGATTATTCAATTCTGCCTTCCCTCAGCTTCAGCTTCAGCCACTTCCTCCTTCCGCTACATCTCTCTCCACTTCCTCACTTCCTCACTTCTTACCAGTTGTCATTCTCGCGATAATGAGACTGTTGCTGCTCCAGCAATAAGCGTGATTAACAATCTCCCTGATATACTGGTAGATGGTCGGCCAAATTGGTGGCTGCTGTTCCTATTCTGTGCTAACCAGACGGCCACCAAATGTCTTAGAGACCTTCCTCCCCCATATTATTTCTCCACCGCCTGCCTCAGCTGGTCTGTGACCCAAGCTACCTACCGTTACCCAGCAGACGAGCATCTTAGCTGCTGTCCTTGTCCCACGACAGATGACGTCCCCAGTCCGCCGGATATCAAGGCTTCATCCTTCGCTTCTGGGACTCTGCTTTCTGTTTTCCCGCGATTCCGAACGCTACATGCACATTCAAAACTGAACATCGACGAGTCTTCCATCAAACCCGACTTAGACCTTATCGATCCCGCCTTCCCGTCTTCCCGTGCAGCTTCTCCCACGACAGCTGTACGCCTCCCACCGCCGATTTGCATTCCATCAAAGAGCGACTTAGCCCTGAGCGACCTGCTCACCCCTCCAAAACGTCACCGCATTCCAGCTTCGCCTAGATAACAGTTATGGTCCGCCTCATCCCCCAGCGGTTGAAGTCGTCTACGAATTCAAACACCACTTCTGCGGCCAACAGCCGAAGCGCAAGCCCAATGCGAAGTAAAGACCCCGTCAGCCCCGAGGGGCCCAAGGAAGGATTGCTCCTCAGCATTGTGGTGCTCAAGGTATGCATTAGTTGTCGAGTCTCGAATGAAATCGTGTTCTTGGACTGACTTGAGGCATTAGGCACGCAATCTAGCAGCGAAGGACCGAGGTGGCACTTCTGACCCCGTGAGTTCTAGCCTCTTGTCGAACTGCACAATACGAGCTTTGAATCTAACGTTCAGATACAGTACCTCGTTTTGACTTTAGGAGACGCCAAACACATCACAAGCTCTCAATCGAAAACACTAAACCCCGAATGGAACGAACAATGCCAGATGCCCGTCACGGGCGTTCAACACATGCTTCTTAGCGTTTGCTGCTGGGATAAGGACAGATTTGGGAAAGACTACTTGGGAGAGTTCGATCTTGCCCTTGAGGAGATCTTTGCCGACGGCAAGTTCGAACAGCTGCCCAAGTGGTTCCCACTGAAGAGCAAGCGACCTGGCAAGAAGACAAGCTTGGTGTCCGGCGAAGTTCTGCTCCAGTTCACGCTATATGATGCAGCGAACCCAAATGCCACCGATCAACAAGTTGCTGAGAAATTCGGCACCCTTGTCAAGGCGGTTCCCGAGGCCGAGTCCACATCGCGGAACCCGACGCCAACCTTGACGCCGGTCTTGGCGCCAACCTCCGCTCCCGGCAAGTCGCCGTCCCCGCCTCTTACACGCCGGGCAACCGACAGGACCGACGTTGACGATGATGATGATTATGATGTGTACGATGATGAGACGCCTGAGGATGAGGATCCAACTAAGCCAGAAGCCATTGAAAAGAAGAAGAGGAGACTTCGCATCAAGGGCCTGAAGCGTAAGAAGAGAGAAAACCCATACGAGTTCACTAATGGAGGCTCCAATGATGTCATGGGAATCATCTTCTTGGAAATATGCAACATTACAGATCTCCCGCCCGAGTCTAACTTCACCAAGACCGGATTCGACATGGATCCGTTCGTCGTCGCCTCGCTAGGCAAGAAGACATACCGCACCAAGGTTGTTAGACACAACTTGAACCCAGTGTTCAACGAGAAGATGTTGTTCCAGGTTCTTGAGCATGAAAAGAACTACTCGTTTGCTTTTATGGTCATCGATCGTGATAGATACTCCGGGAATGATTTCATCGCCTCGACATCGCTTCCACTAAAAGAGCTGATCGACCGGTCTCCCAAGGCTGATCCGGAGACCGGGCTATACGATCTCAGGGACCCTCCCGAGTACGTGCCATCGCAGCGTTCCCGATTTGCAAGGCTTGGACTTTCTCGTTCTTCGTCAGCACAAAGCCTCGGGAAACTGAGCCGGCCACCACTAAGCAAGAACCCCTCAACAGTCTCCAATGTGTCGCAGATTGCCCCGACCACTCCAGCCCCTACCTCAGCGCCAGGCCCCCAGCTGTCAGGGGATGGTATCATGGAGGCGTCTCAACCTCTACCCAGCCCTGGCCTGCTGGCTCCCACTATTTCCGGAGGGAGTGGGGGCGGCAATGGTGCCTCCGTGACCTCCGCCGCGGGTGAGTTGCTCCCGGACAGCGAGGATGGAGACTTCAGCTCTATCTCTTTGCCTCTCAAGATGAAGAACATTGATAAGTGGGAGGCCAAGCATAGCCCCACTTTGGCACTTAGAGCCAAGTACATGCCATATCCAGCTCTACGCCAGCAGTTTTGGAGAGCGTTGCTCAAGCAGTATGACACAGATGAAAGTGGCCGTATCAGCAAGGTTGAACTTACTACTATGCTTGACACCCTTGGGTCTACCCTACGCGACTCCACCATCAACCGCTTCTTTCAGCGTTTCCCACACAAGGGAACCAATGGCGATGATCTTAGTGACCTGACCATTGATGAGGCTGTTATTTGCCTGGAGGATCAGCTGGAGGCTGAATCGAAGCCGCCAACCGTTGGTGACAGAGTGAAGAGCATGCTGCCAGACCTCACACAAGCCAAGGACTATCTCGGTATTCCTACTAAGAGCGGCGCGGAAATTCCACAGCCCCCAAGTGATGCCTCTTCCGAAGTCTTAGGCCCTTCTGCCAGCCAGACGTCAACCTCGACGCTCACCATCCCGGAGCTTAACACGCCGGGTGAAGAAGGCGATCTCCTTAACAAGGATGACCTAAACGACCGTGAGGAGGAGCACGTTGTAGAGATCCGAGAGTGCCCTATCTGCCATCAGCCACGACTGAACAAGCGCAAGGATGCCGATATCATTACACATATCGCTACCTGTGCAAGCCAGGACTGGCGCCAGGTGAATAACCTCATGATGGCTGGTTTCGTCACTGCCAGCCAAGCTCAACGCAAATGGTACTCCAAGGTTATTACCAAGATCTCATACGGAGGCTACAAGCTGGGTGCAAACTCTGCCAACATTCTTGTCCAGGATCGTCTCACAGGTCAGATTAATGAGGAGAAGATGAGCGTCTATGTCAGACTTGGCATCAGGCTGCTGTACAAGGGCCTGAAGTCAAACAACATGGAAAACAAGAGAAGTAAGTTGAAATCCATAGCATTGCAAGGGTTTAAAACTAACATTCCGTAGTTCGCAAGATGTTGAAAGGACTCAGTATTAAGCAAGGAAAGAAATACGATGACCCGGCTTCCAAGTCAGAAATCGAGGGCTTCATCAAATTCCACGGACTCGACATGTCTGAAGTCCTGCGACCAATTGAGGAGTTCAAGAACTTCAATGAATTCTTCTACCGTGAGCTGAAGCCTGACGCGAGACCTTGCTCGGCCCCCGACAATCCGAACATTATCGTGTCCCCAGCCGATTGCCGATCAGTTGTCTTCAATCGCATTGATGTTGCGCAGAAGATCTGGATCAAGGGTCGCGAATTCTCGGTTAAGCGCCTCCTTGGTGACGCATATCCTGAGGATGCCAAGCGCTACGAGAATGGTGCTCTGGGCATCTTCCGTCTGGCACCTCAAGATTACCATCGCTTCCACATCCCAGTTGATGGCACTTTGCTGAAGCCTAAGTTGATCGCCGGAGAGTATTACACCGTCAACCCCATGGCCATCCGTTCTGCTCTGGATGTCTATGGCGAGAATGTTCGCGTCATTTGCCCAATCGACAGCGTTAAACACGGTAGAGTCATGGTTGTGTGCGTTGGCGCTATGATGGTCGGTAGCACCGTCATTACTAGGAAAGAGGGCGAGCAGGTTAAGAGAGCCGAGGAGCTCGGCTACTTCAAGTTTGGTGGCAGTACGATCGTCCTCCTGTTCGAGGATGGCAAGATGAAGTTTGACGACGACCTGGTCGACAATTCGACTGGAGCTCTCGAGACTCTGGTATGTGCGGACTGAGATCATCCCCTTCCCCACCATGGCTGTAGCCAAGATCACTAACTTAGTGTTGCAGATCCGCGCGGGTACATCCGTGGGCCACTCGCCCAACGAGTCGCAATGGACACCAGATATGCGCAAGGACGAGAAGGACGTCACGGAGCAAGACAAAAAAGACGCCAAGCGCCGCATCCAGGGCAGCTTGTCCTTGGAGGAGTCGCCCGAGGACAGCGACGATTCTCCTGTCCCCAGTCAGGGGATTCAGGGCCCGATCTAGAAGTTCCGCCTTGGCCCTTCCATGGGCTTTGGATGATAACATTGGCGGCCGCGGCGGTGGTGTTGGCATAGAGAAAAAAAAATCAAGGATAAAATCAAAGAAAGGAGGATATGGACTTGTAGACGGAACACATGTGGGTCCTACGCGACACGTACACACATAAGATCATGGGGGGTGGGAGAGCCGCCTCAATGGTTGTGGTCATGACTTTTGACTTTGTTGGTTCACTGTCTGGTCCTTATGCTTCTTCTTTATTTCCTCTTCTGTAACACAATTCAGAATTCAACATGTTGGATGTTGTTACCTCATATGCTGTGCTTTGTAGACGAAACACACCGTTGGTTACCTGTGATGAGATACTTGCCACGTATTCCACCAGCCTGATGTCTGCATATCCTCCAAGCGGAGGTCCTTTATGGCGAAGCCCGGTGGGCTGTGTTCGCAAGCTGGCGATACTGGAATCGTGATTAAATAAGATTCGGTATGCCGCTGGGTGTAAAGTGACAGTATCAATAGTCTTATGGGTAGAAGGTGTACTGAAACTCAATTCTCCTTAGTCAGCGTTATCAACCGTCTATTGAATCTTCCTCTTATTTTCTATCCCTTATATCTAATTTACTAGTATCGTATCGCCTGCTAAAGAGCGGTCAATATCACATCTGACGGATGACATCCAACACTCGACACGTGACTCTCAACAGTATCATCGATACACACTTGATAGTTTGATCTTTTCAAAGCAATGATAGTATACACTGGAAGACTTGACAGCTATGTCTTTGCCGTCACACTAGCCAGTATCACACACTCATGTTCTCGGAGATATAACACTTATACCTAGCAAGGTTTAAAACTAGCTATACGACAACAGAAAAGGTCTAGAAGTAACTCCCTTTGTAACTGTCATAGAGAGGTTCAGGAAGCGGAGGTAAGCTAGCCAACGAGTTCAGAACCTCGGCTGATCCAGCAGACCAACACGTCGAAGGTGGTGGTAGCGGGATGGGTGGTACGTCTTCAATGCGAATCCGGTAGATATCCTTGTCTGGTCCTTTCAGAAGTTGTATGACAACGGATTTCTCTTCCGATAATAGAAATGCGGTCTTCAGGTGATATGGCAGACCAATCCAATCGAAGGCTGGTCTTCGGCTATCAGCAAAAGGTGCGTCAGATGGCCCAATGGTTAGAGCAACGGATGCTGTCGGATTGCGAGTACTAGGCTTTAAATCCCACTTGAAATCGATTGTGAAAGTTGGGAGGCCAGCCGGCCCATCCGCGTACTCGATTGCTGCCGGAAGCTCGCCCCTGTACCTGAAAGGTCTCGCTGAGGGCTTGTATGTGAAGTATACGCAATTATCACAGAAGGCGCCATCATCTTCTTTCACCAGGCTATACTCTGGTGGTCCTGTCATGAGTATAGGCTCAGATATCCTCTCTTGATAAGGCGAAGAGTCAAGTGTGGCATATATAGGAGTCAACGGCCAGTCGATGAAGGTCTGCCAATGGGTCCTTGTGAAGTTGACTGCTAATAATGGGGGCCAATGAAGTCTAGAAACAAGTCTCTTAGTCCTTCTATTGGAGAGCAGGATAGCAATACACAATCTGGAACCTTCTTCGTACAACTCGCTACCCCAAAGGTCAAGCATTCCAACAATTATCATGAGTACGCCGTCCCAGGAAGTAAGAGACGCTCGCATCTTTGGGCAAATATACTCGTTCAATGGAATTCCAAGTCTTTCTCTGGATCCTAGGAATTGGCGGCTGTTCTCCCGGATGGCCAGGGATTCAAAAGAGCTGAGGGCTCTGTGCAAACCTTCCAGACGCCTACCAGTTTGGATAGGTCCGTATATTGGACAGTGCAGTTTGACTGACTGCTTTGTAGCCTTCACCCTTATCCCAGAACGCTGAAATGGGCTTTTCAATCTTCTGCCCGTAGGCCAATTGTTTGGGAGGCTCAAGATTTTTCCCGAATTCCGGAACGCCTCCACGCCGTCTGCAAGAACACCCGTATATCCCGCCATCTCTCGCCCCGCATTGTGTCGAGTTGGTACGCAAGGGTCGTCTTCTTGATGCTCCCAGGCGAGTAAGGAAATGTCATCCGACCTCTCGAGTATCTCTATTTGAAGTCGACGGAAAGCGTTGCTTCCTTCTCCGTACAGAAGAGGCATATGTACGCCAAAGAGACCAAGGAGGCAGTACGCTTCATCCTCGATGCGGGTGGTGCTCCGCGTTGAGGCCCACGACATACGCTGAGCTAGGCTGTACTGAGCCTTGCGAGAAGGTTCTTCAAGAACAGCTCTGCTGATGCCTGTGATTTCAGAGACTATCTCGGCGAATTCATATCGGGTTCCTATCTCTTTCCAATCTACACCAAGAAACACCACGTCTGAGGGTGCAAGCATCTCCTGTAAAGTCCACCCCCTTGTGAACCATCTGCTCTTTCGAAACGACGACGTAGTCGAGGAAGGATCCTCACCCGACATAACATCGGCGAGATAGGCATAACAAACCGCTGCTTGACTATACCATGAGAACATGGAGTTGATGGCTTCTGACAGCTCGGCGCTTGAGGACTTGTCAATGCAACAAGTGTCAATCCACACCCAATCAAACCCCTCGATACGTGCCTTTGCGCACCATCCCATGAGCTTATTGTAGCCCTTGAGCGAGGATGCCGGGCTGGAGATGACCGGCAGAGACTCGCTGAGCCAAGGCTCTTCCTCGTTGAAGTCTTCAGGAAGGATGACAGTGCTAGAAGAGAAGTCTTTGAAGCTAACCTCCTCCTCCTCCCAAGTATGAGAAAGAATCAAATATACGGGAGCCCCATGGTGGGATGGAAACTCTTTGAGCTCAAATGTGTGCACATTGAGGAGTCTCATGGTATGAGCAGGCGGGAGCGGGGGCAAGATATCTCTTTAAAAATGGGAAATGGGACTTTCAAAAGACAAGGCTCTGTAAACAATGAAGGCTCTCCCGAGTATGAACCCGTGGCCGGCTTGTCCTCGACCGTTCTTGAGGTGGTAGAGATGGCCGAGATGTAGTCGATTGGGAGCTGTATATTTGCAATTTTTAGCTCTATGGTGCCAAGCATTCATTGTCTGCAATTGTTAACAAGTGGTTGCTGAAGAGAGAAAAGCTGGGTGGAGTTAATGTGCTAGCAAACTCGGTGGTTAACGCGGATCCAGTGGTGTCTACCCATTGTTGGGTCGCCATAGATGCGCCTGAAAGAATGCCTACTGTAGTCACTCAAGCCTTCAGCCTGCCAATAGCGTGGACTCATCGACCTCAAAACGCCTACTGGTTAGCCTTAGAGCTTCATCGGCTCTTCGTTGGACAACCATCGCCACAACGCAAGTTAATATTTGAAATCGTGCCCGATATTAGTATTGGTGAAGTCTTGTATTGTCATATCGTAGAGACCAGAGGTTCAAATTTATCTGCAAGACAACATTATACAAAGCAGAGGGGAGTTGTCATGTTTCATCGAGGCTTGCAAATCTCTATTATTGGATCCGAGGACTGAAATCGGACAATGCGAATAGAATAACAGAACTTGTTCGGATCTGGCGGATATTTGACAAGAACTACAGGGAGATTTATGAGATCAAAATCATGACATGCTGGCTAGCCAAATGAAGCGCAACTCATGGTCGCCGCCACAACCTAAGCACCTTTGTTTTGCAAGAGAGCACGAGATCCCGAAACGGGATGAGAAATAGTTCTACCGCTCGGAATATAGAATCGAACAAGGAATATCTCTCAGGGAGTCTTGAGCAATGTGTTAATTCCATCTTTGTTGACAAGAAGACTAAGAGCATTAGGCGATGAAACCAACGGACGCTAAGGTGCTAATGACGAGACTAAAATGCGGCTGCACAACACTCTGCCACCTCGGCCGAGGGGCCGAGTTCCTATCTTGAAACTCTCCAGAATTCTATCACTGTTGCTAACTAGTAACTTGTATGCTCTGATATGTGGAGTATGTGTCAAATGCTCGATAGACTCCGTCTACTCTGCAAAGTTCTCCTTCTACTGCAGGTGACTTGATGCGAGTACCAACCATCAATAGCTTACAGGTCAGTGCCATGGGAGTTTCTGATAAAGCTATAGTGTCCAATTCCATCTAAAAAATCAGAAGACCATTCTTAGGTTCACGACATGGCCAGGAGCCAAATTCCTCGGCTCTGCAACGTTAAGTTGATTCTTATAAAAACACCGTTAAAGCTATCATTTTATCCTCTTAGCAAGTTAGTGGCGGCTTGTCTTGCGCTTAGGCTGCTGTCACTCATATCAAGTCGTTATCAGTACATCAATGGAACGCGGAAGGCGCCGAAGGGGTATTAGTTATCTAGCTAAGAGTTTCGGAATTCGCCACGACTTCAACACAACAACCTCATTTACTCCGCATTGACATCTCGCGGTTTCAGGGCCACTCAGATCAAAATACTTGCTTCTTGTCATTCATTTTTTCTGAATTTTACTGTAATTTTCTGAGCAGAAGAAGTAATTCCAAAAGATGTCTGCTGCTACAGTAAGCTTTTCTGTCCCATGTCACGTTTTGGGGAGGGATCCTGCAGAATTCCTCAAGCCGGAGGTTGGCCCAACATGGCCGCAAGAACAACACGAAGTGACACTACACGACCTGAAAGTAGAGCTTGAACACCCAGAGACAGCGGCATCGCCAATGGACCAATTAGATACTAGAGGCTTTGCCGTCTTTAAAAGCAACAGCGAGGCGTTAGGCCCCCTCGCCGAGCAGAAACAATGGAACGCAGCTTATCTAGAAGTAAGCCAATCATATTGCAAACCATGAAATTTGTATCGAACATAAATGCTTATTGCCATGTTCTACATAGGAGACAAAAGAGTAAGAACTGAATCTTATCACTACGTCTGTATGGCTTGTTTCTGATCGCTTGGGCGTACCGCAGGTTGATCAAGTCTCAACTTGGGGCTACTGAAGTATTCATATGGAATTCAGTGACTAGGAGCTCAAACCCGAGCGTCAATACTCCGTACTCTGGAAGTTTCACCCAAGACAAGCCGATCGTGGGTCTTCAGTTTCCGGACATAGCCCGGCCTGCAGCATCGGGTGCACATGTTGATCAGGACCCGACGGGTTCGTTGCGCATCTGCAAGCTGAGTGCGGGAGAGGATCTCTTCGAAAAGTATTCTCGTGTACAACAAATTAATCTTTGGAGACCTTTGAGAGGCCCTGTTACGTCCTCTCCGCTTGCTGTTTGCGATGGCTCAACACTAAGCGATGCATGCAAGGGATATTCTTACGGGCTGTTTGCTTCAAGAATTAACGTCTTATATGGAGGTCAGTCTCATTGTTATCAAGTTGGAATGATTGGTGAAACGTTGATTGACCAACACGCGGCTACAGAAGAACAGAAATGGTACTATATCAAGCGGCAGGAGCCCGATGAATGTCTCTTGCTGAAGATCTACGACTCGAAACCGGGAAACGCGGAATACACGCCGCACACTGGCGTTGATGATCTTCACGGTGTCGATGGACCAGTCACTGCTAGGGAGAGCATTGAAGTTCGATTAGTGGCCTGCTATGTATGAACACATCTCACAAAGATGTGTAATAGACCATCATGATTGATATATGTTGTGAGGGGAAGGCTTATTCTAGAGTTCCTCTGCGTTCTAGATGGAATCTGTTTGCCGCACATACTTCATGTGGGACGTGAAGCACAAGTGCTTTGAAGTTAAGTGTGGATCCTGAAATGGGAAGCACCATGTTTGTCTGTCCCAGATCGAAAGAGGACCAATTTCTAAGTGGTAGCGAACACATAAGGAGCAAATGCAAATGTATGAGAGATCTGCTGGTGTGCGATATTTTGGAAATAATCTACCGTGTAACGGCCTGTATTCATCATCGTGATCCAACCACTCTTCAATTCTGGGACAGACGCTAGTGGCACTAAACCGCGGCCATCACGGCATACTCCTACTATCTCAGTACCTTGGAGTTCTTTTAATTTCTGATAGATGAGAGAGCACCCAGCCCCTGACTATATATCAAATCACTGAAAGGATCAAAGTCTTCCGAGTTTGCACTTGCATTTCTCATAGCACTCTTAATTGTGGTTCATGGCATTCTAAGCCATCGTGCGGCGGACTTACCTGGAGTTTGATGGAGTTCATATTGTCAGTCAATTGATGCCTGTTTGTCTGTACGTCGACCCCGAACTTCGGCGCTACTTACGTGCGCTCGAGGTCGGCGAGATTACTACTTATTCTTATAAAAAGAGAACTGTAGTGAAGAAATCTTGCTATTTAAAATCGTTCAATATAAAGAGAGACGATGCTATCAAGATTTACTGCATAGCTTATTGAACATAGGAGAAAGTGATCTGGGCCTCATTTGATCAAATAATTGTTACTTCTTATATTCTTATAAGGGACAAGGTCATCCGTTCATGTAGAGTTAACTTACTCATCTTACCAACAGAGCTGTCACAACCTGTTAGACGTCATAGCCTAGGCAGCTGGGACCTAGCTAGGCCTACTGGCAAGTACAGTAGTTAACCTCTTTGACTCAAAATACAACAACAGCCTTGAGGGTAATTTGAGCCTTTTTCCAACGAAACCCCATTACCGTGATATTGGAGCTCCTTCTGAAGCTTACTCAGCAATCTGTCTTGCCACTCTCTCGTCCGGTAAAGCCGCCTGCACCTTCGCCAGATCACCCACGACACGCCCCTCATTATCGACAATTCTCGGTACCCTACTCTGTACAGGCAACTCCATCAAGACAAGCCAGAATAGTGGCATAGCCACGGCAAAGAGTCCTATGTAGATTCCAAATGGAATAAATTTGTTGGATGCCTTCGCGTTGATGCCATACGAGATGGCCTGGCCGACAGTCTCCCAGGAACGAAACACGCCGCCAGTACGGGCGTTTGTGGCGACGTCGGAGGCGAACTGGCCGAGAACCCAGTAGACTAGAGTTTGCGACATCCAACTATCAACAGAAGTGAGCTCGGGAAGTTGAGATATGAATACGTGGCTACTTACGCGTTGACGACGTAGATGAGACTGGGGAACCAAATTGAAAACCAGCGACCAGTTGTAGGCTTCGAGCTGTAGAGTGTCAATACCAGTTATAGAGAGGCAATAGCGCGAAGTCACTTACTAGTCTAGTCGAAGTTTGTCGGACTGGTCATCGAACCATTTGAGATTGATCATAACCCAGATCAGCATAGCTCTGTCCAACAAGTCAGTGGCGCAAGCTCTCAATCTTATAGACCCTTCACTCGGCTCACAAAGTAGGAATCGTCCACACCCAGAACGCGATGATACCCTTCTTCTTTGGACCAACTTTCTTCATGTCAAGAATCATGCCAAATAGGGGATTTATAAAGACCGCGAGAAGAGGTCCGACCAGTGAAGCAAGGGCACGGGCTCGCACGGAAAGGTGAAGAGAGTTGTACGTTCCCCAAACGCCGTCGCCGAAGTAGGTAAGAATGTATATTGGAATGAGCAGCAGAGTCTTTAAATATGTCAATAGGGTCCCTTTTCTCCTTTGAGCAGTCAGCGGTGGATCTTACTCTCCTCTGTCTATGGTGTTCCCACAGGAGCTTGACCTCCTGTTTCCAAGACTTTCGGGGAAGCATAGGCACGCCCCATCCGTCTGATCGGACGACCTTCTTTGTACGAGTAAGGAGGAAAGCTGCGGGAAGACCTGTGTGTATACATAAGTCTAAGTGAAACTTGAATTGCAGGTACCTTTGAGTTAAACTTACCTATACACTCCAGGCCGAGGAAGACCAGGTAAGTGTTTGTAGTAACACCTCCATAGCCATCGCGGGCAATGTTGAGACCAAAGGTGATTGCGCCACCGATGATAGAGCCAACATTTCTCATTGCTACCCAAATGCTGATGTAGAAGCCTCTCCTATGCTCCTCTGGATACGAAATCATAGCAGCAGCTTCGGCGATGTATAAGAATGCGGAAGCTGAAGAGACAGTAAGACACAAGGTAAAAGGCGTTGAAGTTTGTGACAATGCAAGTGAGAACTTACTTATCCCGTAGATTCCCTTAGCGAAAATGAGATACCATTGGATACCATATTTGCTGTTGACATAGAATCCAGACCCTGACAGTGGAAAGCCCACAGCACCTACCATGCATGCCGCGGGTATACCGATTGTGCTAATAAGCGGTCCACCAAACATACTATTTCTATTAGCATTTTCTTGAGTAGAAGCGTCAAGAAGCGATTTGACATACGCTATTAGAACTGATGTCGAGTATTGAGTGGCAGAGGCAGCATTAGCAGTGTAAGGGGTAGCAAGACCGCCTCCTCCAAGACCGCTAATAGCTGTGTGTTATCTTGTAAGTAAATAAGAGATCTCAAGGCATGCAGAATCCTTACCATTGCTCATGGATGGTCCGGAGAATGATAGTAATGACAGCAAGACCATTTGAAAAGCAACACTTCTATACCTCCGGAGCCATTTGTCCTCCGGAATCTCGACAATACGAACAGCATATGGATCTTCTAGATAGGTCTCTCCCACAAAAATCGGCGCTTCAGCAGCACGACTTTCACAATCTTGGCCATTTGTTTTGTCGTCTTTTTTGTCAGCAGCCATCTTTGCTACACTTCAAACTACAATCTGCTCGTAAAAAATGGTGCCAAAGATGGTAAAAATAAGCTTGAGAGAATGTTATCAATGATCACGACTGGTGGTCTACTGATTAAAGAGATGTTTGGAAATGATTGAGTTTTTCCGGCTCCCGATTCTATCTTATTGCTTACCAACCTGACCGTATATCGGTCATCTAATACACGTATCTCTCTTATCTTCTGCTTTATAGGGCTAGGTTGTCTGCATGCGGCGTCAACTCAAACGCATGGCTTTGTTTGCCATGATAAGAGAATGTAGGAATTTTGGTGGAGAATGTATTAGCATGTTCAGTGCAAATGGGATACTAGTATAGCCAAGAGCCATCTAGGGGCAGTCTAGCGCTTGCAATACCCATCAGAAGAACATATGAGTCGTTGATTGTTGCTTGCGCTAATGTACTCGGTGCTTCAGATCTTGGAAAGCGGCCTAGTATATCATGCCGCATATGTGTTGTAGGTTATCTCCCCCACATCTTGGCCGAGATAAGTGGTGGGGACGCATCTATATCCCATCAAATAAAATGCTTTAGGATATCAATACCGACGATATTCCCGGATGGAGGTGAGGATCAGCTCTGGTCCATTTTGCTCCGAGTCGGGGCTGATTTACCATATTCGTCGTCCTTATATTGGAGTTGGCCAAGCCAGGACTGGGACTATCATATCTCGAGGGATAAGCAACTTCCCTTCCGCCACCCCATACAAGTATGTTAGCCTCAACACATTCGTCTCAGCGTGTCAAAGATAGGCTTGTGGCACTAGCCAACATGCTCAAGCCTCCAGTAGCAACTGCACCATCTCTCGAAACAGCAACGAAACCATTTCCAGTTGAAAACTCTACCCTATCGTTTTGGAGAACCGAACCTCATGGGCTCGAGAACTATCGAAGCACAAGCAACTTGCCGGAAGCATGTGACGTCCTAATCATTGGCGCCGGATTCTCTGGTGCATCGACGGCTTATCATCTACTTGATAACAACCCATCACCTCCTTCAATGGTGATACTCGAAGCCCGATCAGTCTGTTCAGGTGCGACCGGACGAAACGGTGAGTAAAAGAATGTAATTCGCCATACTCTTGATCTCAATTACACATCTCATGAGAGAGTGTTTGCTCATTCTTCCTTGAGGTGGCCATGTGAAACCAGACGTGTATTATCGAGTACCCCAATATACTCGCATGTATGGGAAGGAAGCGGCTAAGAAGATCGCACTATTTGAGTCACAACAAGTCTTTGAAATCAAAAAGCTCGTTGAGAGAGAGAAGATCGACTGTGACTTCAATCTCACCCGGGCTTATGATGTAATTCTTGATGCTGAGTTGGCTGTCAAAGTAAAGAGTGAATTTGATCAACTCGTTGCAGATGAGTTTCCCTCTGTCAAGGATGTCTGGTATCTACCGGGTCCGGCTGCTGAAGCCCTGACTGGAGTCAAGGGGGCCAAATGTGCTTTCTCTTTCACGGTAGGAAGTGTATGGCCCTACAAGCTTGTGACACACCTTCTGTCACTAGCTGTCCAAAAAGGAGTTAACCTTCAAACAAACACGCCTGTTTCCCATATTTCGGATACCCCAGACTCCCAGGGTTACTGGGCCGTGTCAACTCCAAGAGGAGTAGTCAGGGCTAAAAAGGTGGTGTTTGCCACGAATGGATACACAGCAGGAATTCTATCGCAGTATCAAGAGAAGATCATTCCGGTTCGAGGCATATGTAGTCACATCAAAGTTCCCGAGGACAAGGATGCCCCGAGTTTACCATACTCGTATAGCGTGAGTCTTCCACCGGATTTCCCATTGTCTCGAATGGTACATTGGAAAAGGAATCTAAGGCATCGAATCCACAGGTGCGGCATAGTTCAAAAGGAGCCGACTATCAAATAACTCGTCCAGATGGAAGTATAATCGTCGGCGGAGGCCGTCCCTTCTATCTAAGCCAGGCAGACAAATGGTACAATGTTCATGACGACTCACAGCTCATTGAACCCGCTGTGCCTTACTTTGATGGCCTGATGCAGAGAACATACCGTGGTTGGGAACACAGTGGAGCGAAAGTGGACCGCATTTGGACTGGCATCATGGGGGTGAGCTCATCTCACTTTAAAGGGACATGGCGTAGTATTGACTGATGTTCTTCCTACAGTATACAAATGACCTGATGCCGCACGTTGGAACAGTACCAGATAAGGATGGCCTTTACATTTGTGCCGGTTTCAATGGCCATGGGATGCCGTCAATTTTCCTCTCTTCTAAGGGTCTTGCAAAGATGATCAAAGACGGGTGTTCGTTCGGGCAGACTGGAGTGCCCGCACCTTACGAGACGACAATAGCTCGCTTAGAGAACAGCGAGAACAGGATCTTAGATCTGTTGAAATCATAACAAGCTCTAAGTTTACACCTTCCAAATCACACCGTCTATGGAATGCTTGGACGGAATGTTCAACAAAGTTAAGTTTTTGTGAAAAGAAGGACCATTGAAGTTTGAATATCGGTGTAATGGATGAGAAAGAATCCTACAGGAGTTGACAATATCAAAGGCATTGAAAGCTTTTTGAAATTTGCCCTTGTCATGGCTGAATACCTAAAGGTCCTACGGCGATGATATGACATCTCAGCTTGACGTGTATCGTAAAAATAAATGACTAGAAGCCAACAAGTGAAGATAGCAAAACTAACAGCATGTGACTATGAATTCTTCACTTCAGTGGTTTATTCTGCAATTTCGTCGGAAACCCAACAATTGATATGTTACGTTGACAGCCACAAGATTGCTGCCACAGGCACCCTAAAAACATGTGTGCACTACTTGTTTCCAGTTTGGGTAGATAGTAACTTCAGCCGAGGTGGCTAAAACGAGGCGTCTGATCTGTGCCTGAGGCGGTTGCCGGCTCACCCTACGCTTAGGTTAAAGCAGCCCGGGTTAGGTTAATATGCGATAAAGCAAATGTCCAGGGCAACTTTTGAGAAACGTATATGTCTGTTGCGTAATTATGCACTAATTATTAGTCACAGGCAGCAATACAACAGTCTGTCAAATGTTTAAATACTCAGGACTGGATCAAACCAACGATGAAATTCGGCTCGTGCGCTTTCTATCACATGGAAAGGGCCTCGTCGAAGGGCTCAATCTCCCCGTGGAGCTGGAGATGATGCATGTCTCCTTGGAGACTAAGCCGGCATATCACGCCTTGTCATATGTGTGGGGCCCTCCAGAGAATAATCACCTTGTCTCCATAAATGGGGCAGATTTCCACGTTACTCGCAGCCTCGGCGAGGCATTAAGAAGATTTGACCTCGATGACTCTATCGAATGGTTTTGGGCTGATGCCCTTTGCATCAACCAAGATGACGATCAGGAGAAAAGCGAACAGGTGCAAAAGATGAGGAGAATCTACACATCGGCGAGGAAGGTTGTAGCCTGGATGGGTACTCCGCCAGGTGGTCGCGAGGCTATTGTCGAGAATGTCGCTCGCTGGGGGAGACATTTGCTCCTCCAATATGTGTGGGATGATTTCCCAGAAGACCATGTTGGAGTCCATGATCCGGATGATCTGCCGACAAGCAGATTTTGGCCAATGTTCCAGCGTATTGCTCGACTTTCGCACAATGATAGGACGTTCATCAACTCAACGGCTCGGACCCTGGGAATAGGGACGCACGATGGAGGCGAGTTCCCACATAGAGAGATGCTATATTTCCTACGTCGTCCGATTTGGACGCGAGTCTGGATCCTACAGGAGTTCACCTGTGCTAAAGACCTTGTTATATGCTGTGGTTTATCCGAGTTGAAGTACATATATTTTATTATCATCCACTGGATATATCTAGAGTTCTACGACTGGAAGAGGCACGACCTCGAAACCGGACCGCGGGCATCCGAATACGTCTCAGCTCTAGCAGCGATTCACCCGTATACGAGCAATGCCATCATGGTGATGCAGTCTATACATAAATGGTCCAATATGGATGTTATGAGACAGTCGTCCTTTCGATTTATCAGGGAGTTGCTGAGAGATGTTTGGAGACTTGGCACAAGTGATCCACGAGATCGAGTGTTTGCACTACTTGCGATGGCTCGTGACACTGAGATTCTGGGCCTCAAGCCTGACTATACAAAGAATTATGAGGAGGTGCTTATTGAAACTGCCTGGAGACTGATGGACCGTGGAAACCCCGTCCTCGATGTCGCCCGTGGGATGAGACAAACGCCTCTTGCTCCAGACTTGCCCTCATGGGTCCCAGACTGGTCGCTTAGGCCGGTATCAACGCTAAATCCAACGGTCATCCCTAACGAAGACGCCAGATTCTCGGCTGGTGGAGAGGCTGAGTCTGCTGTGAAGCCTATCCTAGGACCTATAATTAAGACTACGGACGTGACTAGCCGTACATGTCCACATTCCGGCAAAATCATTGCGCAGGTCACGAGAGTTGGGGAGATAGCTAGCTTCAATGCACCCCGTGAGACTCCGGACAACCTTCACAAAGCGCAGAGATTCCTTCACAGCCTCAGAAGCTTCACAAACTCTCCTGGGAACTCATCACGGCAATGGGCTACTGACGACAGGTACCCGGGTGATGCTATATGGAAGGTACCCATTGCACACCGCCGCGTATCCAAGTCCCATGACTTCCGAATCACACAGGACCTCGGAGAAGACGTACAGCTTCGTGACGATTTCGGTATTCTCATCGGCGACACCAGTCCACCACAGGAGAACATGTTCGAGAGCATGGACGCATGGACCCTACGAAGCGCGAAAGTCTACCTTGACCGTGTGTGCAGGTACGCAGACGAGAAACGGCCCTTGCTAGCTTATCACGACGGTATGGGATATCTTGGCATGGGACCGAGTGAAATGGCTGTCAACGACGTCGTTTGTATCATCCAACATGCTCGCGTGCCATATGTCTTGAGGCCGACGGACGGCGGGGCGTACCTTGTTGTCGGCGAGGCTTATGTGCATGGTTTGATGTACGGTGAGGGGTTGGCACTGGGCGACTTTATCAAGATCATACTTCTGTGACCAATGCCGTGTCTGATACCTTGAACAACCTACATTGATTCTATGAGTTCGCAAAGGCATCCATCCCTTGGAAGTCAAGAAAACGAACAGCATCACCATAGTACTCTCTCGGAAAGCGAACTGACCGTTTCGAAAAGTGGCAAACACAGGCACCGTACAACACGCCAGGATGCGCGATAGGCAGGCCTGAAGGGGGGCCCGGATAGCGGGCCGTGCACCTCGAATAACGTCGGCTGGGGCCGAGAGGGCAGGTTTACCTACACTGCCGTTCGCTTCTCCCTTATCGCCTATCGTGCTATGGCGGGGCACGAATCGTGCCACTGGCAAGTGGACCTTCCGCGACCCTCCCAACAGCGGGGAATGGCTTGATCGGATGGGTGCGGCACCCGGGTTGGGCTCGGCCGCACTCTGTCGGTGAGGAGCCGTTGATGTTGTTGGGCAGGACGGGAGGCCGGATGAGGGAAGAACAGAGTGTGCTGATGTTCTGATGATGACGACGGCGGTGGATGAGGGATCAACGTTTCACGCGGGGCAGCATGTTTATGATACGGGAGGTGGACACGGTCGAGCGCGGTATTACGTACTGGCCTACTTAGAGAGGTATGGCGGTATTCGCGGGTTTCTCGGTTTCGATCTGATAATCTACGATAATCATGGCAAGTTCATCACATCACTTGTAGTTTCGGGATTGAGCACAGCCAGCTAAGAGAGGAGTCAGATGAATGTGAAAGTTGTCAATTCCAGGGTATCAATTAATGCTGCAAGCTTAATGGCCAGTTCCAGTCCTCCTCAAATGCAAATGCAAATTAACCTGTAGTCCGTGGTACCAGGTGACTAGAACGCCAACGCCCTATTGTGTGGTTGTGTAGGGAAGTGCGTGTGTGTGTGTGTAGTAGTAGTAGCGTGAATGGGATGGTATGGATGTGCGATGATGATGGGTGTGAGAGAAGCCCCTCCTACTACTTGTCCATCGAGCCTCAAGCATCTAGATCACCCCAGAAAGCAACCCCCGCTGAAACCTTGATGTTCCTCCTCAGTAGCTTCTTAGAGGGTGAGAAGCCGACATCCGAGTTGTCGGGTTTCGCTAGGTGCCTAAGAAGTTCCCCTTGCCGACGGTCTCCTGCGGGATAGGTAGGCAGAGCTAAGAGCGCGGTCACCACTGTGGGGGTGCGATCGCGAATGTTGTGCTGTGTGCAGAGTGCTGCATTCCAAAAATGACGACATTGCCTAGGGGGATGGCGTGTCGATAGTGCCTATGTTCAGCAAATGGATGCTGAAGCTCAAATCCTGACAGGTCTAGAGAGTTGCCAAACGGCCAGAGTGGCAAAAGCTGTGATGTCGTTGAGCAGAAACACAGGTGTTGTTGTGAGTCTGCTCTTCCAGTCGATGTCGTGTGTCGGTGGTGTGTGGTGTAAATGTGAGATGAGTTCCGCCGCAGTTGTGCCTGTGCCTGAGCCTGAGCCTGAGCCTGGGCTTGACCCGCAGCTCACTTAGCGACCACCACCAAACTTCCAGCTGGAGCTCGAGGACTGGCGGGACATGGAGGGAGCCGCATCAGATCGATCGCTGTCCATAGAGCGCTTCTCGGGAGAAGGTGAGCGCTGGAAATAAGAGGTCGGGTTGTTGCCGATGGGGGGAGAGGGCAGCGAATTGTGATGCACCTCGCCGTTGGGCTGGCGCATCTCGCGCCAGGAGCTGTAGAAAGCTCGGCAGAGATGCGCAGACATGGTATAAGTAGGAGACATTGTCGATTGTCTGGTGTTGCCTGTGGATAGTTGTGACTATTTTTTTCTTCTGTGATCTGAGACTCAAGGTCGTCAAACTTGTCGTTGAGATATGTGCTTGGTGAGCAGCTTCTGGTGTAAGTGTGAGCGGGTGAGCGCAGGAGCGGGATGCTGTCCTTGGCGGTGCCTTGGTTGTTGACAGGGGACAACGAGTGAGACGAGAGGGAAAATGGACAATGGACGGCTTTGTAGCGATCTTTGTGTGATCAAGACAAAAACGCGTTTGGTTTTTTGTTTAAAGTGGAAGGGCGACGAAATAATAGAACGTGGACGTGTGCGAAGAAGTGGAAAAGTGAATCGCTTCTCTGCCTGGGTTTATTAAAGGGGAATTTAAGAAAGCTGGGTCTTTTTGGTTCTGGGCTGTCCTGCCTGGCCTGCTGGGGGGGTTTTCTTTGGGCGTGTGAGTCTGGCACAGCCCAGCGAATTCCAGCGTGCAGCGCAACGCAGCAAAGCCAAAGGCTAACGGAGAAAAACGACCCATTTCGGCGCCAAGATGGGACGGACACCCATTCTGGTGCAGCCTGGCCAATCACAGGGCTCGCAAAGTAAGCAGGACATTCGATTTTCAGCCACACTGTGGCTCAAATCGTATGTTCATCTGGCAGGTTTGGCCTTGCCTGGCTCCATTCAGAGTCAAGAACCTGCCGTTGCGTGCGAGTGTGCTCCACTCCCATCATCCTCCTAAGGCGCTTTGGTTTATCTTTAGGTATCTATCTACACTACCTACAGTACCGACCTACCTCAATAGGCTGCTAACCTGATTGATCCCGCCGTCTGCGAAACGGCACCGGATGACCTTATCGGCCAAGTTAGAACGCCGGAGAGAGCAGTGCAGGCCAGCGTTTCGCGGTTCCCTGCCGGGCAAGTCCACCCTCCATCACCACTACCACAACACACGCCCTGCCTTGGCCGCGGCGTGAGCTCCTCCTTGGCCACCCCTCCATTGCGGGTCACACCCGGCCGGCATCTCTCCTGGAGCGGACGCTTGTCACTTGTCACTGTCGCTGTCTCTCAGAGCGTCGGTTCGTCCCTGAAAAGAATCGACGGTGACAGGCACGATGCCAGTTCGCCATCTTCGCGTTGCAAGCCCATCCGTATATCGAAATACGACGGAATTATTCCAGACTTGCGGTCAGGCACCCATGACGCCATTAGCAGTGATAGTGCATCGAGCCATGCCAGCGTTGGAGAGGTCTAGAAATGGAGCGAAGCGTGCTGTGACTCGCTTCCTCGCTTCCGCCTGCCCTAACCAAGTGGGCGTCCCGGGTGAAAATGGAAACTCTTGGAGGCCCTTGTTGACACCCCTGAGATCCTGCGGCGACGAACGTTGCCCAAGAGCTGTCACAGCCTCTTCTGACGAGGCGGCGACGATGTCAGCCGCATTAGCACGCTTCAAATGCCATTTGAACAAGTAAAAGGTTACGGAAAAAGCAGCATAGGCGAGAACACGATCTGCTTAGCAAGTCTGACACAGGGCTGACAGGAGTCGGCTCAGCTATCTTGGAACGACGGCCGCTTTGGGGGCGCCCCGCCTAACAATACACTAGGAGAAGTCCGTCACCATGATAGTCACCATGCGACACACTCCAGCGCGCATTCTCGAGGCTACCGCTCGATTCCGCTCACGTTTGAGTGTTATCTCGGCCGAGATTCGATCTTAGGATTGGAATGCCTTCATTTGTTGCCTTGCGCTGTTACGAGCCCTCATCACAACCTTGATTGCAAAGAGGCAAGCCCCTGCTGCCATCACAGGTGAGTCTCAGAGATACTCTGATTACATTGACGAGGTATGGTAAGCAACATGATTCCCATAGCGCGGTCCAGACCGCTGCCGTTATTCTTTTCTATGTTGGCCGCGGGGCAACAGTGAAGGGGCTTGCTTCAAACAGGTCCCTGCCCCTTCCTTAGGTAACCTGCGCAAAGGGTCCAACATCATCCGACTTACCCAACCCACCATCTTGCATGCCTTTGTAGATAGATTAGATGCATTTGTAAATATCATCACGAATAACAGGCAGTCAGGCTGTGAAGGTGCTCTCCATATCACTCTTACCTAACACTGTGACCAGTGCCAATGTGCTTGAGATAATGACCACCTTTAGCGCGGGGGATGCTGATAAGGATAAGCTAGCAATCAGGTGGTCTCGCTCTGGTGACATACCGTCCAGATGACATCGACGCATTTGATGTCTTCCTCTCTTCACTATTGCTCTTGCCTGCTCGTTCCTTTCCATCTCTGCCCGTATGTCGGCAGAGGTTGAACATGGCTTCGAGCGAGGACAGAAGATGGGCAAGGAACTACAGCTACAACACGCTTTCAGACACAGAAAATGAGTCTTCGAGGTACGAGCCAGCCCCTTTACCGAGACCAGAGCGTCAACTGAACAGTATACACAGCGCCTCCGATAGATATGAAACATCTCTTCTCCGACGCGCTCTGAAGTGGGCAGAAGTGCCACAGGAACGCGACATCGCCACGAACCGAGATGCACGCCCACTTCCCCCTTCACGTCGTACCTATGGCCCCTGGCAGTTCGTTGGACTCTGGATCGTGACAGGATCGTTCAACATTGGCGGATGGACGACCGGCTCGTCTCTCATCGCTCTCGGATTGAACGTGTGGCAGGCGATGCTCACCGTGGTCATTGGACACTGCATTGTCGGACTCGTATGTGTCCTCGCCGGCGAGCCGGGCGCGAAGTGGCACATCGGCTTCTCGATTCTGCAGAAGGCTTCATGGGGCATGTACGGCGCCCTGTTCCCGCTGCTTCAAAGGATTATGCTTTCGTTCATATGGTACTCGACGCAGGTATACTGGGGCGGACAGTGCGTGCGAACATTGATTGCGGCGATGTGGCCAGCATTCAACCAGTTTGACATGCCGCTTGCGAATGGGACCATGACCGCGGCGGACTTTGCTGGCTTCGTCATCTTCTCTCTGATGTGCCTGCCACTGATTTGGATCCCTCCCGAGAGGTACCATGTCCCCTTTGCTGTGGCTGCGACGACGGTGATCCCAACCATCTTTGGACTCTTCGCATGGTGCCTCCTCACAGCCGGGGGCGCCGGGCCTTTACTGAAGGATGTAACTGCCGTCGCGGGTGTGGAACAGGCTAAGGGCGCGCACCTAGTATGGATGCTGATTCTTGGAATCTGTACGAATATTGCTGGGATCAGCACGCACATCTTCAGCCAGAGCGACTTCACCAGGTTCGCTCGCCGGCCCCGAGATCAACTGATGTCACAGCTCATCTTCGTCCCTGTCAACACCATCGTTGTAGCCTTCATCGGCATTGTGTGTACGTCATGCGCGGCTCAGCTGTTCCCTGAGACCGAGGGCACCCTCGTTTGGGAGCCGTTCAAACTGCTCGACGCCATCCAGGCCCACTATAACAACTCGTTCTGGTCTAGGGTAGCGATCGCTATCGCCAGCGTGGCATTCATTGTTGCACAATTCGGCATCGCCGTCGCTGAGAACGCTCTGTCGAACGGCATCGACCTGTCCGCGATCCTTCCTCGATACTTCACCCTCCGACGGGGCGGCTACCTCACAGCGGCAATGGCCTTTGTGATGCAGCCCTGGCAGCTCCTGAATGGCGCGAGCAAGTTCTTGACTGTGATCGGCGGCTACGGCGTCTTCCTCGGCTCGATGACGGGCGTCATGTTCGCCGATTACTACATCATCCGCGCCCGCCGTCTGAAGCTTACTGATTTGTACGAGTCTTCGAGGAGGAGCATATACTGGTACTGGAAGGGCATCAACTGGCGAGCGGCGATCGCGTGGACAATGGGCACGTGGGCGCTGCTTCCTGGCTTTATACAGCGCATACAAGACCCAGCGGTGGAGGTACCGGGCTGGTCGAATTTATATTACGTCGCGTGGCCGCTCGGCTGTGGCGCAGCTGTCGTGACGTACTGTCTTCTGCATCTGGTGTGGCCCATCGAGAGTCCTCGGGTGGTGGACGAGGTAGACTATTTTGGGACCTTCGGGTCCGTTGATCAGCTGGTATTAGAAGGCACCGCGCTGATAGATGAAGATTATGCTGCTGAGAGCGAAGCTCAGGCAGAGATCAGCAAGGCTGACGATATGAACGGCAAACCTGTATGATGATTGCAATGATAGACGACATGCATTAGATCTAGCGATGTAGATTCTTGTTATTGATTAATGTCTGCGTACTGTTCTTCAGACGCCTCTAGTTCCCTCGCAGCCTGCAAAGAGTCTCACTACCTGGACTTGGCTGTGAATGGAACTCATTTCTAGTTGGACATTGCTCAAGCATGTGAAAGCCATTTCCAACATGCAAACTTTGCAGCAATGCCAAATGATTCTGTGGCCATGCAAAATCATGGCTTCATTCATCTAGCGGTCGTTGTCAATCTTCTCTTCTAGAAGCAGCATGACCATATCCTGTGTGTCCTGCATCAACTCTCTCATTTCGATCCGTGTACGGTACAGCTCTTCCTCCAATTGATCAACTCTGTACTCAAGATCCTATGATATCTTAGTCGAGAGTACATCTAGATATTAAAAGAAGCTTACCGAGTCTTTGAGATTGGTATCGCGGTCATAGTTCATACATCTCGGACTATATTTTCTGTGGCCTTGATAACCACATGACCAGCATGTTGCTCCAGAAACTGCTTCGCTGGACTCTTCTTCTTTGTTGCGGCGATCATCGTCTTCGCCTTCGCGCTCTTCATGGTCTTCTCGATTTCCTCGAGCTCTCTCCAACTAATGATATGTCCCGGAGGACAAAATGTTAGGTCAACGTTCACGATCTCAATTGAAAGAGGCGTGCGTAAAATGGCAATGTAGGGAGCATAATCTGAATGAAGAAAATGAAAAAAAAAAATAAAAAATTAAAAAATTTCGCAGCTTCGTTTACTTACCACCTCTCTCATCCGCTGAACTCTCTCAGCACGCTTTGGATCTTTGAGCGGTGCCGCAAAGACTGTGGGTGGCACCGTTGTTCTTGCTGGTTCCAGTCTCACGTTGCTTAGGGGAGCAGGAGCAGGCGCATCAGGTGTGCCCCCAATTGAGGCTTGGGTCAGGCTTCGAGTATCCATGGCTTTACTGCGGTGGAATATAATGATGACACGTAAGAAATATTGACTTGATGAATGTGTTTGTTGGTTCTATTGGAAAGAGTTTGAAATGGGCGAGATAAGGTGAGGTAGGCAGGCGTTGTGTTTTGTGGAAGAGAGCTCCTGCCCCTTTCAGCTCAAGTTGGCGAGGTAGGTGGACTGGTCCTCGAAGCACCCGTGCCTTCCACCCAAGTCTTGTACGATAACAGACCATGTGGGGACCTTCCCATTCAAATATTAGAAGATGCTCTGTGATCATACCCAAGTTTACCTTCAGATAGGGGTAGCAACACCCATCATTCTTCAGCTACTAATGAGCTCGTCTGGATGGCTTGCTGCACAAGCTGATGAGCCGCCGTGGAGACCGGCCAATCTATCCATACGATTTGGCCTCCTCCCGTGAAAAAGAGAATCCGATGACTTCCTAATGATTGTTTTTGCTAAAGCTGACGGACGAGTGCAAGGAAATAAGAAACTGGTGCATGTGATATTTTATTGCATCTAGCCGTAAACATCTACACAGGCAAATCTACCATGAAGATAGAGATGCAGTCATAAAGAAGCTCCTCTTGATTGATGGTATTTGCGAGGTTTAACAAACTGGAATCGTGCTGCCAGCCGTAGTCCCTAAGTTGACTGCTCTGCGTTCTTCGGAATCGGCTTGACAATGTGATTTTGCCTAATTTTTGAAGTCCAAAACAAGATGAGATGACAGCCGGAGATCGACAGCTGGCGACACCGAAGGCGTCGAACTTTTTTTTTTAAAAGATATTCACGACGATTGATTATGGTAGATGAGACAAATGCTCCCCATTTTCGCGTTCAGCATGAGGTCCGGGCTTTGGAAACCGTGCCGAGTAGATTTCAAGGATTTAAGGGAGGTGTTCGGAAGTAGACTCGAGAGATTCGGGCAACCGTCAGGCTTTCTTCCGCAATAACCACTACAAAGGATGGTCCTTCTGTTTAATTTGCTATATATGGCATGTCGGTATTAGTTGACTAGTAACTCATAGGATTTTCGAGAGAAAAAGGAGCGACTTAACCGGCCTGCCTAGTCTGAACAGCAACAACGCTCATGGAACAGCAAGCTATTGATAGAGAGAATAACAACAGCTTGATGGAACTCACAAATGCTCAATTTTGCTCTTATCTTAATGGACTAGCTTAAATAAGAGTTGATTTCTCTGCTATATCTATGGTCATGCATGGAAAGAACACAGCTCAGGATCGGAAAGATGGCTCGGTAGCTGGTTCATTAACGATCGGCGAAAGGGAAGGCTGTGCGGCACGCATAATCTGTACTTTATACCGCTTTGAACTGCCATCAGCTTTGAGCAATCACTAATGAACACTGGGGAGAAGCGCCTTATACGACAGCAATGTGGAGACTTACTTGGAAATGAACAGAACGCACCGATTTTGGTGACTAGAGTCTGGTGATAATAATATTGCACCATGTAAACTGATGACGCGGCGAGGACAACCGCATTGCGTGCTTACTAGTTTGCCTACTTCACGTAAGGGAGCATGGTTCTGCGTTCTTGTTTCAAGCAGCATGACGCTGATCCTTGTTGGTATATGTCGACGGAAGAGCCCGTCCGGATGGAACTCTCATATAGGGGCACTTTAGCCTTTCCACAACCTCATATATCTGAAATGATACCACACTTGGAGCTGCCTCGGAATGCTTGCCGTCTACCGAAATCTCAAAGAAACCTCGATTTCGCACAGCAGGTCACTAATGGCGCGATAGATACCGGACGCCCCCGATTTTTGGACTTTAATGCATTCCACCGACCATAAGAGTAGCGCGCCAGCGCGTTTTCCTGGTCTTCAAAATGCCAAGAAAGGCCATATAGTTACGATAAGGCAAGACTGCATTGAAGCTGCTGGCCAGTTTCTTTGTGGTATCAAAATCTACGCTCGCCTATAGGAATGTTTAGGCGATTTTGTCAACGTCTAATAGCCTTGATGTTGGCCATCAATACAGGCGCCAGCCCGACTTCACTCTTCAGACGTCAGACATGGACTGGCGTATGGGCACATGATCTGACAGATCTAGGCTGCCGCAACATCGTATTCATCTTTGCCCGAGAAACAATAGGCCCGGGGAACATGGTAAGTTCGATAGACATGTGGAGTTGTTCACAGCTTCCCTCACTTCATGAGTATCTTGATGGACTAATGATCTTCAAGGGTGACAAAGTTGGACCACAATTATCGAATGGTCTCAAAACAGTATTTGGGCCATCTAACGTCGCTACAGAAGGTGTTGACTATCTGGCTCTACCAGACACAAACTTTCTTCAAGGTGGTGCCCCGCCTGTCGGTATTGGTGAGATGCAGCTTCTCCTTACTACAGCAGCTGTTACGTGTCCCAACTCCATCATAGTGGCTGCCGGGTACAGTCAGGGGGCAGCTATCACCCATCGTGCTATTGAAGGTCTTCCACAAGGGGTCAAAGATAGAATAGCTGGCGTGGTCACATTTGGAGATACGCAAACGTTGCAGGACAAGGGACATATCGCTGGCTATCCCATTGATAAGACTCTCATCATCTGCAACGTAGGCGATGTCATCTGCACAGGCACGCTATGGGTATTTCCCATCCATCTCGACTACACAAAGCGTGTGCCAGAGGCAGTTACATTTTTGGTCTCTAGAATTCTTGAGGCAGCGGCAATACCGTTATGATACCATGTAGCAAGAGTTTGTTCGAGTATTGAACTTGCCCATTTAGACTACGAGTTAGTTGAATTGCGGTAGGGTATACTAGTACAAAGACCGATGGAGATCTCAACTTTTGGCAACATGCATTTTGCAAAGACGTATCTGGAGGACAGAGATTACATTTCGAAAAGAAACGGCGCATTTAGACTCGTGGGGTATTTTCTCCTCTTATCTATCTAAATTGAAATTTTGCTTCAAAGAAAAGACATCCAGGTTAACCAATATTCTACGTGAAGAAGCTGTCCTGGGTATGGATTCGCGGCTGTTCCTCTAGGGAGCTGTTTGTGTGGGTTTCTCCTCGATAAGGCAGGTTGAACCATGCATATGGATTAAGAAATGGCCCACTAGGAATGGTATTGTTTACCCAGCCGTTCGAACTATAAGAGTCTGAATCCGTAGCGTCATCGTCGTTTCCTTTTGAATGCTTTCGTAGAGTGTAATAAGATCCACCAAGAACAAGGCTTAGAGTTATCGGTAATACAACCACCCAGTATTTCCAAAAGTCTTTCGAAAGACTGATGCGAGAACGCTCCGTGTCGAAAACGAAAAAGTTCATTCCGAAAAGGGACTGCAATTTCCAAGTCAGAGAATGAATGGTAGGAAATCCGCATCATTGCTCACAGAGACAAACATTGCCGGTAGGAAAACTGTCGTAAGCAATGCTATTAGCTTCACTACAAGATTCAGTGTTAGTGATAGACCAAATAGTCGGACAAGCATTATAGATCCAAGTTTTTGATCATGAATCAGATGTTGGCCTTGGGCACTTGGAACGTAACGTCTCCAGATGTACGATTTTGGACGAGTCTTACTAATTTCGCTGTCATTCTTAGCAGCGCTAGCAATCTTTAAGTTTGAGCCGCTATCTCTTTGCGTGATCACCGAGTACACCTGTCGTAATTTTAGCACATAAAGAGACCTGAGGCTGTATAAGCCAGGCCCTGTTATATCTCACCACACTGATAACGGTTGCGCTTCGCTTCTGTAAACATTGTATATGATGTGTTTGATTACCCACGGAGTTCTGCACATTGAAGAGTCTTTCCTTGATAGACTCAAGTTTGATGACAGCCTGGGTTTCAGATCTGCTTGCGCACTTCTCAATTTCTACCGTCAAGTGGTCCTTGATGAATATAGAGAATTTGCTCAGAAAGTCCAAGCGTCTTTCTAAATATGCCAAATGAGTATTGAGAGAGTTCACGTCCTTGATGACCAAGCGAAATTCTCGCTCGTTCCAATACCAGGCGCCTCTAGGGTTTTTACCACGAGTCAGTCCAACTGCCCGCTCTAAACGGAGTAAAGCAGTGCTTTTCTCTCTTCTCATATTATTGTAGTATATGTGAAGAAGTTC